GGTACAACGGACGGTGTAGACTATATATATATATATATATATGTATGTGTGTGTGTGTGTGTGTGTGTGTGTGTCTGTGTGCGCGTGAGAGAGCATGTACGAAGAGAGCGGTATTTGAGAAATCCGAATTGTGGCCCAGCGTTCTCGTCGACATGCGTCTCAGCTCCGGCTCGTCCTCCTCCTCATCTGGGGTCGTCTTCTACCCGCTCCTTCCATCTTTGCTGGCTACCTTGTCGCAGAGAGATAAACGCAGATGTATGTACCCTCCAAGCGCGACTGGCCTCGCTGCTTCTCTTTTGCCCGCACGGCGCACAGACTCGCTCGAGACATGTTTAACGGCGAAAAACGCGAGCGCACACACACACAGTTATTGCTGAAAAAATACATGAAAAAGGGAAATAGGAGAACAACTGAGCTAAGGTGGCACTTTGTTCTTGTTAGTATTGTGTGTTTGTGTAGACTGGAAGGGTTGAATTGGCTGTGTGTGTGTGTGTATGCGAGAAGAACAAGGCCTACAAATATAGCACACCCATCTTTTCTTTCGTTCTTCTCCGCCTCGGGAGCAGGAGTCGACGAAACACATGTAGCAACCATGTGAAAGGTTGTTATCCCTCACCAGGAAGGCAGTAACCGCAGTGGTCTCGCCAAGTTCTCACATGTGTCGATCTGTACTGCCTGCTTCACCCTTCCTCTCTCCTTCACCGCTACCTTTGTTCCACAGTCCAGGAAACCGCACGCAAGAGAAGGGAAAAGAAAAAGGGTAACCGCATCGACGACGAACGTGTGTGCGTGTGTGTGCATGTGTGTATCGCGTCTGCCTCATCTGATTTGACTGATTCTTGCGTTACTGTTGTTATTACTATTATTAATTAATCATCAATAATTATTGCTCCCTCGCCATGACGCACGTCGCACCCAAGGCGTTGCATAAGCGCATCAAGGGTACCAACGTGGAGGTGCGTAAGGACGTGACGGACGACAATACCGATGCCCAACTTGCCCTCCTCTACTCCATCGGCGCCGACGACGAAACGGAGCTGCACTGGTTCCACAACACGCTGCGCCCCGAGCGCAACCTCGTCCACCCATCAGACGCATTTCTGCACGGCATCAAAGTGCTCCGCCCGGCAGCCGTATTTAACACCTTCGACGTGAAGAAGGCGAAGCTGCGTCGGCTGACGAAGCACGAGAAGGACAAGATCACGGCGATGACGCGTCGCAAGACGGAGATGGCGCCCACGGCGGCGTACAAGGCCGCGGTGAACCCCCACAAGACTCCTCGCACGGGCGGGCAAGCACCGATCGAGGAGGTGCGTGTGTTGTCGCGTGGTATGAGTAAGGCGCAAAAGGCGCGCAGTCGTGCCCGGGTGGCGCACAAGGCGGGCACGACCAGCGGCGGTGCCGCGAGCGGGCAGAAGACGTACTTCACGAAGTGGAAAAAGCGGAAGCAGGAAAGGATTGGACGTGGTTTATAGAAACGTGCTGGTGCCGACGGCGTCCTGCTTCCTTTTTGTGGCTGTGTTCGCTCTCTTCGTCCTCCCACGCGTGTGTGTTGTCGCACATGGCACAGCTGCTTCCTTGGGACAGGGGGGGGGGGAGAAGTGACACACACTCCTTCACCGCTAAACGATTAACACTTGCCACAACCGCAGGCATTAAATGAAGATGGGTTGTGATTAATGAATTGTACGGGTAACGAACGCAAGCACTTACCTCTCGATCAACCTAGAAGAGGTTGTTGTTGTTGTTTTGAAGCGGCGCAACGGCGCTTTCACGTTGCCACGTGTGGATGAATCGAAGCCTCTTAGTTGTTTGAGCTTTTTCCCCGAACTTATTTGGTCCGCTCTTTCATTGGAAAGATAAGTAAAGAAAGCACGGTGTCGCGCTTTACGGCTTCAAGAGCGTCCTTTTCCATGTTGTGCTTCTCTGCTACCTCAGCAAGCAACTATTTTCTTTTTCCTTTCTGCCACAGGGTTTGCCACCTCCTTGACCCGCCCTTCAAACTGATCCTCCTCTTTCTTTTCTAATTCCCTCTTCTCACCAGCTCAAGTCACCGGCACGAAAGGCGCCCACTCCGAGCGCAGTGCGTGTTCTCTCGTGCCACGAAACCCCTCGCGAGTGAGTGAAGTGAAGTGGGACCCATACGGACTTGTTTTCACAGATTTATTATATATATATATAAAGGTTCGACTATTCTCTATGATGCTTCTCCGACGCGTCACTCATGGCGCGCAGCTCAGCAGCGTCGCGCAGCTGGCGCCCCGTCGCCACAAATCCTACGTGCTAAAGTTTCTTCGCGGAAAGCTGCCAGACGACCTGAAAGATTGCGCCGGCGCCCTCGGTTGCCTGTACGGCAGTCTTCCCGATGTCGACGAGTACCGGCAGTTCGTCGTCCCACTGCACGTCCTACAGCAGTACCACCAACTCGGGTTCGCGAAGCTGCCGCGCACCGTGCTCGAGCCGGCGCAGGCGGACATCCTCGCGGATGAAGTGAATCAGCTGGCGAACAACGTCGAGCACCACCCCAAGTCGGAGCACCTGTACTCCACCTCCCTCGCGGACCTCACGGGCGGTCCGCTCTTTTACTGCCAGGGCCAGTGGCGCTGCTCGTGGGGTATGCACGACCTCGTCTACATGCCGACCCTCACCGTGGCAGCGTCGCAGGCACTCGGCAATCGACTCGTGCGTCTGTGGTACGATGAGGTGTTCATGAAGGAGGCGCGCACCGGGCCATGCATTCCGTGGCAACAGCAGTACGTGCGCTGGCAGCACACCACACCGGTCAACCACGTCACCATTCTCGTGGCGCTGGACACACTGAACAAAGACCGCGGCGCTCCGTGCCTTATCCCGGGCAGTCACCGCTGGCGCGAGGGACAGCTCCTCCCCCCGGTGCCCTACGACCCGACGCAGGGCGAGGCGCAGCAGCTGAACACGATTTGGAGCATCACGACCGACGACGAGCAGGAGATGCTGGCCGACACGCCGCCGGTCACGGTGGACCTGCGCCGCGGTGAGGCGCTGCTCGTCCATCCGTTGACCCTCTTCGCCACGCACGGCAACCGATCGCTGGACGCGGCGCGGTGCTGCTGCGTGCATTACATGGGCGAGGAAACCTACGCCGCAATGGACGGCCCGTTGTTGCCGCACACAACGCGGTTTCGCGCAGGTGCGCGTGTGAGTGGGCCGTACTTCCCGGTTGTGTTCGACCCCGCCATGACGGAGGATCTCCTCCTGCTGGACGCCGAAAAGGCCAGCAGTGCGGTGTGACGCCGCGGTCGGTGTTCGGTGCTATTGTTATTGTTATTGTTTGTGTATGCGGGCGTGTCGGGTTGGGTGTTTGCTCCGCTTGCAATTCCCTTTACAAACTCACAACAGAAAAGCACGGCAAGAACGATACCTGTTTCACACGAAGGCAGATTTGCCGAGAAACGTCAGCGCTGCAGCGGCCTTGGATTTATTTTCTCCACCGGCGTCTTCGCTTTCCTTGCCGCACTCCCCCCTTTTCTCTCTGCGCGCTCCCTGCGCTACCTCACCTCCATCTCTGCCCTCTCTGTCTTCCTTGTTCCCTCTGCTCCTTCACACCCCTGTTGCGGCGTGGCTCGCGTGCGTGTCCGGGCACTTGCGCCGGCACAGCCACCAGTCGAGACCTTTCCGCCTGTATTTCAGGTACGATCACACATGTGTGAGCGCACCATATCCCGTGCGATTTGAGAAGCTAAGCACCCACCGGCTTGGTTCTCGCTGGGGTAATTGCAGTAGCTTCTCCCTGCTGCTCCGAAGGATAACATCGAAAGGGAAAGAAGGGGAACATAAGCTGTCAAGCACTCGTGGTTCGCATGCTGGACGCTGTGCGCACTCGCGGGCCCACATTGGCTCCGCAGCACCGTCGCTCATCTCATTCGCTGGTGTTGCTTCTTTGCCCTCTACTGTGGCTTTAAGAAGCCGACCGCCTTCCACCGGAGGACGCGGCCGGGCTTCGGGTCATATCAGACTCAATGGAAAACACACGGGTTATCACAAGAAAGACACCGGAGGCGCAGGGCTCGTTCAACGAGAGTCACTATCGCGGGCATGTCAGCGCGCGACCGAAGGCGGCAGCCGGGCCGGCAGCGAAGAGCTCAGCCGGAATGTGTACAGCGGGTCGAGGTACCCGAACACGTAAAACGAGCTCACCGTCCCGGCACATGGACGCGGAAGGGATGAGCACACTGTCTCTTTCATCCGTGAGGTGTCCGGAGTGCCAGCAACCAGCCTTCGTGAGGGGCGCGGGAGGGCTTTTAAAAAGGAAAACCAAACGAAGCGAAACCCAGCAAAGCAGAAAGGACAAGATGAAACGTACTCGAAACCCGCGCCTGCACGGTCGCAGCCTGAACGCGATGCCCCAAGCGCAAAGGAGGCGCAGCTGAGAAACGTGGCACCCGCATGCCGGCAGCAAAAACAATTGGAAAACAAAGAACACCAACCGCAGGATGGAAAACAACAATCTTAAAACGAAAAAAGTAAGAAAGATAACACCTTGTTGGAAAATACGGATGAAAGAATGAACCCTCCATTTACGCACGCGGACGCTACAGAGAAAAGGATTTAGAAGAGAGAGGAATTCTGCAAGTCACTTCAATTTTTGAGAAGCGCAACTAGTTGCAGGGACAGTTTCCCTTTTCGACCCTTTCATAAGTTCCATGGAGAGCTGTTGCTCCGGAAAGGCTTTCCGAAGAGAAGGTCTCCTTTTCATTTTGACTCGAGCCGATGAGGACAGACAACAGATACAAGCTAGACAGGTTAACTGAAAAGAAAAGAAACGTCTCCTACCAGCTTTTGACGGGAGCCTACTCCGCCTGCCCTTTTCAGAACCCATTTAGCTGGTATCGAAGAAAAGAAGGAATGAAGAGAGTAAAACAGTAAAAGAGAATCGTTTTGGGTTTTCTGAGGTGCAAAATAATAATAATAGAAAATATCTTTTTTAGCCTGTTGTGTTGTAGGCATCCTTTAGAGTCGTTCGTGACTTGTCTCTCCGTCGAAAAAGGAGAGCATAGAAGACAAACTTATTGGCTGTTTTTCTCGGAAAAGATGCTTGAACGTGCATCAGCCAAGTTTTCTTTGGAAGGAACCTATTCTACTGAAGGGAAAAGCTGATTTTTTGCGAGGGCTTTTCTACGCGAAGTGCAATGTCATCGAGCGCCTTTGTCGGCCTGCCTCTTTTCTTGATAGTGACCAAGGCCGTCGTGCTATCAATATTTATACGAAGGTTCAACCCTGCGGGAATCCATCGCCGCAAGTGATCCACCGCCAGAACCACGGTGTTCGCTTCCAGCGTGTTTATGTGATGCTGCTCTGCTGCGGACCATGTTTCACCAACGCTCATGCTTTCTTGGGACTCGTCCCGCATCAAGACCGCTCCCCAACCGGCTCCAGAGGTATCGGTGTAGAGGGTCATCATCGGCATTCTCGCTGCCATAGCTGGCGCTGTCGCTCGTGGGCGGTTCTTCTGAGCCAGGTCGCACCATTATTTGAGTTGTGCATGCGCCGTTGGAGGTGTGCAGGCCGGCTCCTTCACCAGGAGAGGTGTCTGGCTGAGCTGAGACAGCCTTCGTCTAATGGGCTTCAGCGCCCAATAGAACTCTGCGGTGCGGATATGGTGAACTGACGAGCAGCGGAGGAGTTGTGCGTAGAGTCGCTCCAAGTCGCCGCCCGTCATGCTTGGCGTCGGACCATCAATCTTCTGGATCGTGTCATCTGCCACGCCCACCTTGTGAGCTGCGTGGTTGAAATATACCCCCTATGAAGTCGGGGACTTCTCTTGCGTATCTCTCGTCGGTGTGAAGAGAGAGTGGGAACTCTTGCGCGGTGGTCCACATCCTCCTGAATGCTATTTGGACTGCTTGATGCGTGCCTGCGTACCGTATGTTGTCGATCCAAACGTTGATTGTGGCCAGGGCTGGGTCGTTCACGGTGAACTCGTTCGTTAACGGCACGTAGTCGGTGATGTAGCGAATCTTGTTGTGCATTGTGGCTTTGCCATCGCCATGCTTTGCTAGCAGCGGGAAGTACTTTTACTTGAGCTGATTCTGTGAGGTGCATCTTGTGAGGAAAATCAAAGCACCTCGCTTGATTGAGTGCGCTGCAAGTGGTGGCGTACTGGTTTCAGCGTGTGGATGATCTGATCCGTCTTCATTGTTGCGAACTGCGTTGATGCTGGGTTGTTTGCGTTCCAGCTGTTGAGAATTTGCGCGCTTCGTCTCATCTCGCTGATGTCCTCGACCCCAACTAGTACGTATGCCTTGTAAGGGTTTCCTGACGGTGTCTTTCCCGCTGTGAAACGTAGGATAATTTGCTGCGGACTCACCTGCAAGAAATTCTCCGCAGTCAATCCTTGAATATCTCCCCAACGGCCTGCCATTTTCGGGCATTGGAGGTCTGAGTGCCGCAGCCTTCAAACGGGTGGTTACAGGGCGTCAACGAGCACGGGAAAGTGAATGAAATACCTGCAATGGTTCTCGCGGTTCCAGATGAAGATCCTGAGAATGATCGAACGCGCGCCGCAACACTAACATCTAAGGGAAGTCGCTTAGAAAAGACATCCATGGTGGTCACGATTTACGCGGGAGCAACCCCGAGAGTGTGGCAAAACCGCAGACATGTCTGACCCAACCTAGTGCACAGCATTGCAGCAACCAATAAACACGCCATGAAGAACGATGTCGACAGAATCTCACCGAAGAACATAGACTACCAGTCGGCAAACGCCGTCACGGAAGTGAAGGTCAGAAACAACACAAAGTCAACCGACGTAGTGACAACACGAGCAATACTCTAACTTTTGCAAGTCGAAGACAACTCCTTGAAGATGATGATTAAAACGTACTCCATCAACCGAATTCCACAGAAGCAAGTGGTACCAGCAACAAGGAGGGAGACAGAGCTTGTCATAGAAGTGCTCAAATAAAGACCACACGATAACGCAGCGGCCTTCCAGGCATGAAATTCTGGCCGATCTCCAAATTGCAAGATCTCTTCCACGTCATCTCGTCGGCAAAACTCCGGCATTTCAATGCCCAGAAAACAATGGTGTTCAAAATGTTTGCAAGGCAGCGTTTCGAGGTTGGCAGCACTTTTCAACCGAGTGTGAGCGTGTCGAGACGCGAGTGCATCACGAAGTACTAGTGCCTTCAATAAAGGCGAGCAAACAGTGTACACGTTGCGTATGAGACGTTCTGCTGCTAGTGTTTTCTCTAGACCCCCTTCGTTTATATTGTATCCTCCATTGTCACTCCCTTCTTTTATTTTTCTCGTTGCTTGTCTGACAAGCAAAAGCGGTGAGCTGGATTTCTCACAACCGTTGCATTCTTTTCTCGCCACTCACCCGCCCTGCAAGCGAAGATAGAAATAACGGTGCCTGTTGTCCATCTTGTATTCTTTTTGCTCTCGTCGTAGAACTCGCCTTAACTTGCTACTTTATTGTCTTATTTATGCTTTACAATTGTCTTTGTGTCTTTTATAGCACATTAATCCGAGGCCTTTATCAATGCATAAAAAGATAAGCCCGAATTATAGTACAAGTGAGAACAAAAATGCAGTAGGAGAGAATAAAACACTTAGTACGTGCGTACACCCTCCCCCCCCCCACACAAAGCGATCACTTAAATGAACGACAAAAGTGGATTCGAGCTCATTGTTAACCCCGGAGTGTCATTAACACTATATACTTGTTTTTGTCAATCTTGTTGTCACTTTTTTTTTGTTTTTTCTTCTGTTTTCCTTCTTTTCTACCAGTGATCCTCTGGTGACTTTAGCTAGGTGCAGGCTAGTTTATTGAATACTAACGGCCGGAAGCAGACATAGGCAGTTGTGCCCAGCTGTTTTACGGTTTGGTGCAGCCGTTATCCGCTAATCCATTGGACAAACTCTTAGATGGTGTGAAGTCTTCAAATGTGCAGTTATGCGGTGACGCCAAGCGTGCAGCTCGCAAACCGTATTCCTTTCCACCGCGCGTTCTTCATTCAAGATCTCTCCTTTTCTGCAACCCCTTCTCTGATCAGGATATTGCCAGTAGCTTCGAAGCGTCTTTTCTGGCTTTTGTCGCAAGTAAACTGTTATGGTGATTGGTTCGTTGGTGTTGAGGAGATGATTCCAAGTCTTCACATTGCATTGGTCGAACCTCGTCAGACTCTCAACAAACGCAAGCGGTGTTTGGACTCCTTCGGAATCAAGATCTCCCTCGATCTCATCCATTTCGCTGTCGTCTATGAAATGCGGCGCCTCCCGATGCACGGAGAAGACACCTGCATGCTCGTAACCATCTTGCGGATTCCGCAAAATGTTGTGTTCGTTGTCTTTCTCTGCAGCTCTGCTCTCACCTGCGGGCTGGAGTGAAATGAGACGAGGATGCTCTTAAAGTTACCATCATGGTGGTGTTCGACCTCGTTGAGCTCACCACTTCAACAATTCCAACACTTTCCCCTTCCCTACGGAAAGAAACCTCGTTTGGTGCACCCCGTTCTACGTGCATCACCTGCTGAAGCAGCTGAGGGAACGTAATGGCTTTCAATCCGGCACGAAGCATGATGACGGGTTATCTTTTCTTCTGGGAAATGATTGATAGGGAATGTGTACCTGTTCATTTCTTTGTGGATTTGAATGAATCCTTGTGAGATGAATTTTTCCTTCTCAAGAACTGTTTGCAGTGATTGTTAACTGCAGTGTAGCAACAGTTGTAGAGCATCAAAAGCCTTTGTACGGACAGATACGGACCCTTTTGCTTTGCTGCATAGCCTTCAGCGATCGAGACGCTGACAATAGTACCGCCACCTCTTTGATTTGCGAAGCTTTCCTTTTACGCTTCTCTGTTTTCCTCTCTCTAGTAGAATCTTCAGCCTTTGCGTTTCTCCCTTTTCTTCTTCGCTTGTTCTTTGCGACTGCTCAGTAGTCGTAGTTATTATTTTTGTTCGTCCCTCCCACCGTCCCCCCGAGGCCCTCGTCACAACCTGGCAGGGGACTGTTTCTCTTCTTTTCGGGTTAACCTATCTCGCTTGTATCCGTTGTCTGCCCTCATCGGCGCTAATCAAAATTAAAGAAAGGAGTGTTGGTTTCGTTTGACCGTATCTCGTTCTCTGTGCCTTCATTTCTTTACTTGCGGGAGTATGAAAGTGTTCTTCTCCTAGTTTATGGTGGCGGTAGGTGCTGTGTGGCTTGCCGGGCTGCACGCTAGCGCTGAAGGTCGCTGGTCAGGGCCAACGCCCGCTGGTATTGCGTTCTCCGTGGATTTGCAATGCGGGTTTTCGGGCCGACAGCGCGGCGGTCGCTTGCGATGTTGCGTGCTCTTTCGGGCGGGGTGGTCGGGTGGTTGGGTCTTGCCGGGGGGGCTTCTCCCCTCCCCCGGCCCCTGGCGCCGGGCCGAGGGGGCCCGCCGGGCGGGGGGGGGGGTTGGGGTGGCGGCCCAGGGCTCGCCGCGCCACCGAACGCGCGCCCCCAAAGCGTTTAGACGGTCGACGAGAAGAACGAAAGGATGAAAGGGGTAAGAGGGTGACGCTGGGGATGCGGGGCTACGGCTCGGACGTTTGCTGGTTACGTGATTTCTACCTCTACTACTCTCCCTCGCCTTATCTTTGGGACATGCAGAATCAAAGTTCTCACACAACTTTTGAGTTTTTTCTTTCCACCCACCCACCCCCGTGGTTTCCCACCTCGACAGGGATCCTTGGGTTTAACCAATTCAACTACCGTTGTTTGCGGCTTCGTGCGTAGTGCTGCCTCTTAGAAAAAATGGAAAAAGAGGAAATCCCCAAGTCCAGTGCACCATCGTCCCCTCACGTTGTAGGGAAGAAACATAGAATTGAAAACCAGCGATGCGAACTGGCAGGCGGAAAGCGGGGTGCGCGTGGCCAGTCGAGGGGGGGCGACGTGTGAAATCAGCGGCGCGGGTAACGCGTGCGTCGCCGCACGGGCTCACTCATGCAAAAAAAAAGAGAAAAGAACGAAAGGGTGCTGCTGACAAAAAAGAAAGGCATTACGACCACGAGGCTTCTACAATGTTGCAGCCGCGATCAATTCGAGCTCCGCTTTAAGTACACATCTGCGCGGAAGGGCATCGGGGAATGTATTAGTTGAAAGAAGAGAGTAAGAGAAAACAATTGAGAGGTTCACACGATGATCACATGCTTCAAAGGGAACAAAACAAAGCAAATATTTTAAAAACCAACATCTTTTGGCTGTGCTGGTGCTGTACACGTCGACCGGGTGAATGCGGGTTAGCAAGACGGTCACGTCTTCGTCAGTTCATTCTCTGCGGAGTTATGCGAAAGCGACGAACTGGTCTCCGATGCGCTCGCTGAGCGACTACCTGACGTGACTGAGGACGCGGCGGCCGATGACGAGAGCGACGCGCTACCCACGGAGGAGGTGGCGGTGCTGCCGGTCACGCTGGAGCTCTTGCTCGCACCCGAGAAGCTCGAGCCACGCGAGGAGAAGGAGCTGGACCTCGAGAAGCTGCCCGTGCGACTGGAGCCCGCGAAGCTTGTACTCTGGGTGCGGAAGGAGCCGCTACGGCTGCTCAGGGCGCTCTCCCCGTCCTCGTTGTCGTCCGTGTAGCGCTGCTTCTTCTTGCAGCAGCAGCACAGCACCACCGTGAGCACCACCGCGACGACGGCGACGCAGCCGAGGACGATGATGAGGATCGCCCACCACGGAAACTTGCTCTTCTTCTTTTCGGAGTAGCGACGCTCCGTGTAGCACAACACCTTGTAGTCCGTCCTGCCGTCCGCCGCCTGCAGGCCGCCGGCGGTGGTGCTGTACACGGCGTACCTGCCGGTGGTGCCGTCGGGCAGCCGGCCGCCCACGAACTCCGACGCGAGCACGGCGAAGGTGCTCGTCTCGCCCATCTGCGTCACGTGCCAGTACCAGCCCACCTTGTCCGTGTAGGCGGCGGCGACGAAGGCCTGCGTCGCGCTCTGGTTGGCCATGTACTCGTTGACGTCGGTCTTCACGGCGGCCGTGTACAGGGCCTGGACGGTGCTGTCGGCCTGCACCGCCTGGCAGGCTCTCTGCAGGTCGTCGAGGGCGGCGACGGGGACGTAGGACGCGGTGGGGGCGAGAAACATGTCGGCCTGCGCCGTCGTTGCCGCAAAGCAGCTCAGCAGCACGGCGAGCACACACACCGGCGTGAAGACGCCGAGTCGCACCATCTTAAGCAGTTTAGGAGTGTCGGCGAAAACGCAAACAATTGTATGGGGCTCGAATGGTAGCACTCACGTCTACTTCCTTGCTATAGCCTGGAGTGCCTCAATGGAAGAAGGAGGAGTGGAGAAGAGGAGGAGTTGCTTGAACGAATCAACGCAGGAGGACCGCTCATCGACACACGGGCAAGCAGCCCCGCTATGTCGAAGCTGTGGTGTTCGATGGACAAGAGCGAAACAGACACGGAAGTACGATGCACCGACAGGAAGGAGGAGAGTACGACGGCAAGGACCATTGGCGTCCCTCACACACAGAGAGAGAGGGATAACGGTAGCATGAGTCAGCGTGAGTTCTGTCTCTCCCCACATGAGAGACAACGTAACTTGAGAGAAAACCCACGAAAGGAAAAGAAAAACCAAAAAGGGGAGCATTTGAAACCAACAACAAAAAAAGACACGCGAAAGATGTGAACGAGGACATATGGGTGTATTGGAGAGGCACACGCTCAGTTTGACCCGCAGCCTCCGCGTTTCTTCGTGTTTTACCCCGCCGCTTCGTCAGAAGCATCGCCCGCGTCGATGCGAGACGGTGGACGGTGCGAGAAGCTCTCTCGTACACTGTTTCTTGTGTACCCAAACACACGCACACATACAGAAAGAGAAATACGGAGAGAGGGGGTTGACGACGATGACAACAGTTGCCGCAGCATTTGACGATGTGCAAGTTTATATACAATTTGCGGAGGAGGACGTTGATGAGCCCACTTCTCATTGGCGTCCTCGCCTGTTTGTTTGCTACGATGTGACGGACCGTATAACAAAAACAACAACAAATAAGGAAAAGAAAGGTATAGGCGTTTGCGCGGGGTGCCGTTGTACTCTGGTGCTTTGGTGACTTCCGCGATGAAATACAAAGCACTTGACGTGGAAAGAATAAATGTGCCGAAGGAACACACAAAATGGGCAAAGACGGAGGGGAGGAGGGAGCACTGGGAAGAGTGGTTTTGCATGAACACAAGGAAAAGAAAAAGAAAACAAAACAACCGAGACCGGTTAATTGAAAAAATGGTAACTGGAAAAACTGCACATGATGACGAAGCAAATAAATAAAATAAACATATAAAATGAGAGGGAAAGGAACACGCTGGTTCGGGCTATAGCGAAACCGAATCGCTGTCGCTGCTGTGACTGCTGCGCGTCACGGAAGCCTCGCTTCCGCTGTAACTTGAGGGCGTTTCGTCCTCCGTGAAAACAGGCGGCGTTGCCGTTCCCGGAGAACCACTACGCCCATTCGTCTTGGTGTAGCTCGTGCCGGTGTCGCCCACCGATCCTTCTGCCTCTGAGTGACGCGGGGACTTCGTTAGATCATCATCGTCAAGGTGGTCGCCGAAGGTGCGCGTCTCATCGGACCGGCCCTGCAGAGAGTCGCTGCTCTCCCTACTCCCCTTTTCCTCAGGCAGCTCATCCTCCATCACACACTCGAAGAAACAGCAACAGACGACGACAGCCACCACCACCAGAATTGCCACAATGCCGAGGACCAGAATAAGAATGGCCCACCACGGGAAGTTGCTACCTTTTTTCGTCGACGACGACGACGACGGGGCTCGTGTAGTCGTGGTGGTGGTGGCCGGCCCGGGGTGTGGCGCCGTGGTCGGAGGGAGAGTCGTGAAGGTGGCGTCGTTCGTCGTGCACACAACCGGGTATTTGAACAGCCCCGAGAAGGGGATGAGGCCGGTCGCCGAAGGGTCGGTGCTGTACAGCACAAACGGCAGCTGATCTACCGGCGTCACACCGTTCACAAAATCGGAGGGTGACACCATCTGTTTGGTGGTGACGCCGTCTGTTCCCTCGATGATCCAAAAGTAGGAGGGCGGCGACGCCGTTAAGTCGTAGGTGGCCGAGACGTACGCCTTCCCCACCCCCGCACCGTTCATCAGCGTCACCACCTCATTTCGGATGGCCAACACATTCATGGCGACGACGGTGCTGCCGTCGTTGACCGACTGACAAAAATCCTGCAGCTTGCTAAACGGTCGTATGCTGGCGGTGGTGTTGGCGAGAAATAATGTGGCCTGCGCAGACCAGCTGCCGAGGATCAGCAGCGCTGCAGCGACGCACAACGGCAGGAGGAGAGGCCGAGGCGGCATTTCTGTGTTGTGGCTGTGGCGTTCCCAAGGCGTATGAAGCAGTTAAAGAGAGAACAAAAAACGAAAACAAAGAGAGCGGCTGTTGACGTTGTGAGGACGAATGAATGGGGTGTGTGAAGAACAGGGGAAACAGAAGAGCACAGACAGTAAGCAGGGATGTTCCACATGCTATTGCTGACCAGCAGGGGCCGCGCGGATCTAAGGAGTTGCGTCCTACACACCGACACACACACACACACACGCGATAGCAACAACTGTGCGGTAGCGTAACGCACCTGATGCCCGGCAAACAAACATACGCACAAAACCACTGCCTTTTTTCTCCCTTTTTGGACCCTTTGTCTTCTTCCTAAATCGGTGGGGGTTCGTGGGTTAAAAGGGAGCTGAGCGGCTACCCTACCTCACGAACAACAACAACAGGAATAGCGCACCGATTGGTACTAGCTTGTCGTAGGAGTGAAGCCAGTGAGCTCCGTCAGCCCCTCGCGGAAGCGTGGAAAAAACAAAACAAAACAATATATATATATATATGTCTTTCAATGGAAAAAGGTTTGGCAGGAGTGCCTAACACCGTGTCCGAGTCGTAAGTGATCTCTAATGAATCCCTGCGCAGTTATGCTTCAACAATTTTCCTCTCCATCCTTCATTATTGTATCGCTGATGGAAAATGATAGCTAACAAGTTTAGGTGAGCAAGAGTATCCAAGACCGAACACTAATATTTCAACGACCCGCCCGCCCAACCCAGTGAACCTAACAGCGCGGTACGGAGTCCCGGTAATAGTTTTCGTTTCCCATTGATTGTTTTCGTTTTCTATTTTCATCCTATTTGCTTTACAGCGAGGTGGTGATTTAGCCTCGCCTGTTGATTTCAAAATGTCCTGTTTTCGATCTCGTGGGGGTTCGAGGCTTCCCGGCCATAAAAAGAAAAGAGAAATGGAATTTCCGGAATGGGCTCGTCCGCCCAAATCGCAAGAGCATCGTGAGATGGTCACGACAAGCAGGAAAGCTCGTTTCTTCTTGCCCCTTCATCCTCCGTCCGTAGCCCCAGCAAGACAAAAGAAAATGGTCTGTTACCAGCGCTGCCTTCGCACCCGTCCGGTAAACCTTCCGCACCGAGTCGCCGCAGCATCAACTCAGCCGCGCGCGGTTCAGCGTGCGCCGAATGCTTGGCCATGAAATACGGTCGATCGTCGGTTTCCGCGGAGCCGCGGCCCCGGAAGGGCTCGCGTGCGCGTGGTAATCACGTTCTCTTCTAGCTTATTCTCCCACATCTGCTGATATGCGGTGATGCTCTCAGCGCCATCGAGTGGCCCGACGGAGACTGTCTCCCTTGACGTGTTGCGCAGGTGTTTGTGGGCGTACGCGCCCCACCCGCCTAAGGAGGCGTCCGTGAAGCACACCACGTCGTAGTCGTCTTCCGAGTACGTGGCGGAGCGTTCCCTGGCGATGGGTTGCCACGGGTTATGCACCAAGCGGGCCCAAAGCTCGTGCAGGGCGGCGTGGATTTGTGGATGGAGGAAAGGGAGTGGGTCGTCCCAATCGAACCCTCGGCTAACCAGGCGGGCCGCCCCTCGGTAGGCCCGTGCCAGGCTGAATGCACGTGCAGGGTTGATCAGTGTGGTGTGCAACATGTAAAACATGAGCGACACCACCGACGCAAAGGACCGAATTGTGAAGGCGGGCTTTCGTAACGCGACGATCAACTTCGCCACACTCTTCGCCGAGTTGCGCACTAAGCGCTCGCTACCGTTCCACCTATACTCTTCCCCGAGAAAGACCGTGTTCGGTTCCTTAGCCAACGACAACAATGACGTGTCGTCCATGGTTGCTAAGGATTCGCGATCAGGCGATGTGAGAAGGTTGGCGCCGCGTACACGCGCCACAATCCTGCGGACAGCCGACAAAAAGTCCTCTTCCTGTCCTTCGTCCGCTGCAATCAAGATATTGACAATCATAGTCATGATCGTTACTGGTGTATCGACGTCGACTATTGTTGACGTAATACCCTGACCCACTGCGACACTCCACCGTGCTTCTGTAGGCAGTGTGCAGAGACGGAAGTAGGCGCCGTTGCGGGCGCGAAAGACAAAGAAGTTTCGCAACTCACCAGGGAGCGGGGTGGCGTCATAGTACGCTTCGAAATCCACTTGAAGCATGTACCGCTTGTTCCGCAAACTCTGCCTTCGCTCTAGGCGCGTTGGGTACTGGACTTTCGGCATGTCGCTCGTCTGGAGGCACGCGTTTAGGTGCGGTTCGGTGATGAGCCGTCTCCTGCCCTTCCTTTCCGGTACTGCGAAAACGTTAACGCCGTGTACTCCTTCTGGGAAGAGATGGTCTGTCGAGCTGTGTCGTCGGACCATCTCTTCTGGGTGAACTAGCCATAAAGAAAAAGAATCGGAAGAAGAGGTAAAGAAGCGAGTAATAACTACAAACAGGGGTGCTTCGCCACATTCCACCTAGCAATCGGAGTAGAGACCCAACCGAAACGTCAGCGCCGATTCCGATGCTCAACACACCTTCACTTTACCAAATGCAGGGACTGACTTGACATCCTTTTCCACCCACATCATTTGACTTCCTTTTCCAACTCAGCATCACAGACACATACACACATCGACATGATAGTTCAAAAACATGAAGTGTTCACATAAACGGCGGCAGAAGAGAAGTAGTAAATACTCGTATGGGAAAGAAAGCACTGAGCACATAGAAGAACGGAAATAGAGGGAGAGTAGGAGAGGCCCATCCCGCTTACGATGTATGCTGTTGTATTTTTTAAAGCTGCTTCTCCTCGTGACAACAAGCAGTACAGGGTAGGAGTGCGCCGAAACAACGGCAAGGGAAGCGGAAAGGACCAGTCAGGCAACACACAGAAAGAGAGAGAAAAAAGAAAAAGACACTCGCATTCGGAGACGCTCTTGGCGGCCTTAAATAACAAACAACAACAACAGGGATGGTGGCTTACTCCGTCCTGCCCTCGGCTCTGCGGGAGCGCGACTGCTTCGCCGACGCCGTGGAGAAGGAGCGGTTGCTGCCGTCGCCATTACTGCGCTGCGAGTGACTGCTGACGCTGTCGGACTCCTCCTCGCTGCTGCTGTGGTGCTCGCCCGCGCGAGAGCGAGTCTCCGACGACCCACTCACGTCATCTCCTTCCTCCTTGCCACAGCCGCAGCCGCCGCGGCAGCACAGCACCACCGTAACGACCACCGCGATGACCACGACGGAGCCGAGGACGATGATGAGGATCGCCCACCACGGGAACTTGCTCTTCTTGCTTTCCTCCTGCTCCGCGGGGACCTCCTCGGGAGCCACGTAGTAGTCGTACATGCACGCAGCGGGGTAGGACGCGGTGCCGTTGACGTTCATGAGAGCGCCGAGGTCCGCGCTGTACACGGCGTAAGGCATGGTGGAGGTGTTCTGGGGGTAGCCGGCGGCCCATTTACCGGCCGTGACGATGCCGCCAAATGCGCTGAGGTCACCGCCGGTGCGCCACAGCCACGCGTTGGAAGACGACGTGTCCATCGTCGCGCTGACATAGGCGTAGGGCACCGCAGCGGCCGCCATCGCCGCCTGCAGACCAGCGAACGAGTCCGTGGCCTGGCTGATCAGCGCCGACGCGTTCCATGACATATCCACGCAGGCCGTCTTGAGAAAGTTGGGGTCGCTCACGAGAGCTGCCGTGGCGGTGGTGAGGAAGACAACATCCGGATCGGCCCGAGTCGTGGTGGCGCCGAAAAGAACGAGAAGAGAGAAGAAGACGGCACAGGCGGCCGCGGAGAGCCTAGTCGCACGGGGTGCAGAGCGCGCCGGCAGACTCGCGCGAGCGCACATTCCGGCCATTGGGCTTCTCTCTTTCTTCCTCTTTCTTCTTTCTTCGAAGGATGACGAAACTTGTTGTGGCGTCCGATGGACGATAGACCGGGATAATAGCAGCAGCAACAGCAATAGTAATAATTAAAAACCGACGATGGCTCCGTCTTCGGTGCGAAGAGGCGACGGGGGGGTGGGGAAGAAGAATGTCTCACGGCGATTCGATGTGGCACGGCGTGGAGGAGAGAAGATGCGAGGGGCCGACAAAACAACAACAGCGACAAAGAGAGCATATTTGTGCTGGCCAACAGAGTAAGAAAACACGGCGCCCAAACGCGGGGACTGCATCATGGGCATGTAAACATTTTGTTTTCTCACCTGTGAATGAATGATACTAACAAGAGTAGTAATCATTATCACACCGAGCTGCAGATGGAGGCACTAGTCCTTCTTGCTGCCATCGAGCTTCACCGAGGTGGCATGCCGCAGGGCAGGCGATGGATGACACCTTGAGTCTTGATTTCTCGTATCATGCGCGTTACGATTGCGGCGCTGCAAATTATGCTGCAGCCCTCAAAGATGACAACACCACCGCCAACAACATCAGCAAAGACGAAGAGGAGAAGGAAGAAGAAGAGAAAAAAAAGGCGGTTAGAACACATAGTATGCAAATAAAAGTACAAGGAGAATATAGTTAGAGAGCAGCCTTCACAGCTCTTCGCCTTGTAGCACTATATAAGAAAAAGAGATGATGGAGATTACTGAACACATGCAGGCGTTTGAAAGAGAAGAAAGGAAAAAATGCCGGAAGAGATTTCCCGCTGCAAAAGAGGCCTATCAGACTTTTGGAGAAGCGTCTTTCGAGTCACACATGAGCCCGCGATCGTACACGCTCGAAGGTGCGCGGCGCACGGCCAGAGAACAACAGCACTCCGCTACAACGCTTTCGTAGGAAGCAAGTATAACGACAGCGACTCTCTGCTTTTAGAAGTATAAGTTGCCGAAGAGTAGAGAGGAGAAAAACAAACAGAAAAAATACACACAATGAAGAATGGCCAACACATGTAGGAGATGGAAAACAGATAAAAATAATAATAACGAGAGGCGAAAAATGGGTAGAGAGAAGGTCGGCAGAAGGTCGACAGAAGAAAAGGAAAAGGAAAGGGAGAGGGCGCGAAGAAGCAGGCACCGCAGTACGCGAGGAAAGCCACCGAAGAGAGAGGGTGCGCAACCCACCCGCTGGTCCCGCTTCGTCCCTGTCAATGCGGAGAAGAGAGATACATGCGAGGTCAAAAATAAAGAAGAAGAGACAACAGCAAAAAAAAAAGATGAATTGCAGGCGTGGTAAACACGCGTATGCCGGCCGAAGTTCCCTCTTCGCTTACCTTCGTCTTCAGCGCAAATGCACTGATAATGTAAATAATAAGAATAGAACACAATAACACACAAGAGATGAAGAGAAACACAGGATATATATATATAAGGTTTTACGTGGATCGAGAGGAGACACATTCAACCATACACAGCAACTTAATGCTCCAGCAAAAAAATTATGATAGTAATAATAAAAAATAATTATCTCCACAAACGCTCCCACGGATACACGAACAAGCAAACAAACAAACAAACAAACCACAACAGCAACAACAAAAAATAGTCCAGCTTAAAAACGGTGTCGTGAGAGGCGAAGTTGCGGGGTCGACGAAAAGGCCTCGGGCGTCACAATTGAATTAACGATGCTAAGGTGATTAAAAGAAAAGGCCAGAACACACACACACACAGTGAAAAGCGCTAATATGAAGAAGAAAAAGAAATCAGAATTTAGTAACAGGAAACTTTCTGAGGAGCTACGCGAACGCACACCTGGCTGCGTTTGCCGTCTTTACCGGTGCACCGAACAGCCTCAGGAAAGCTCGTATATATATATGTGTAGACGATGATCGGTTTTCTTGTGTTGTTATATATATATATATATATGTTTGTTGATAGGTTTCTGTGAACAGGTTGTGTAACGCAGCAGATTTTGGAAAGCACCCGTGACGGTGACGAAGCACACGGAGGCAGGTCTGTTGGTGCGAGTGAAAGGTTCATGACGAAGTACGGAAATTTCGATTCCTCGTTCTTGGTTTTTACTCTGTCCGGTTTTAGAACTCGCTGGGACTGGAGCTAGAGCGGCTCGAAGCGGTGCTCGTCGACCCTCGAGAGGTGCTAGGTCCGCTGCGCGACGACACAGAAGAAGAACGAGTAGTTGCGGACGTGGCCGAGGACGAGGCGGCCGATGACGAGAGCGACGCGCTACCCACGGAGGAGGTGGCGGTGCTGCCGGTCACGCTGGAGCTCTTGCTCGCACCCGAGAAGCTCGAGCCACGCGAGGAGAAGGAGCTGGACCTCGAGAAGCTGCCCGTGCGACTGGAGCCCGCGAAGCTTGTACTCTGGGTGCGGAAGGAGCCGCTACGGCTGCTCAGGGCGCTCTCCCCGTCCTCGTTGTCGTCCGTGTAGCGCTGCTTCTTCTTGCAGCAGCAGCACAGCACCACCGTGAGCACCACCGCGACGACGGCGACGCAGCCGAGGACGATGATGAGGATCGCCCACCACGGAAACTTGCTCTTCTTCTTTTCGGAGTAGCGACGCTCCGTGTAGCACAACACCTTGTAGTCCGTCCTGCCGTCCGCCGCCTGCAGGCCGCCGGCGGTGGTGCTGTACACGGCGTACCTGCCGGTGGTGCCGTCGGGCAGCCGGCCGCCCACGAACTCCGACGCGAGCACGGCGAAGGTGCTCGTCTCGCCCATCTGCGTCACGTGCCAGTACCAGCCCACCTTGTCCGTGTAGGCGGCGGCGACGAAGGCCTGCGTCGCGCTCTGGTTGGCCATGTACTCGTTGACGTCGGTCTTCACGGCGGCCGTGTACAGGGCCTGGACGGTGCTGTCGGCCTGCACCGCCTGGCAGGCTCTCTGCAGGTCGTCGAGGGCGGCGACGGGGACGTAGGACGCGGTGGGGGCGAGAAACATGTCGGCCTGCGCCGTCGTTGCCGCAAAGCAGCTCAGCAGCACGGCGAGCACACACACCGGCGTGGACAGACGGAATGGCTGCATTGGATCACGAAGAGCTGGAGAGCAGCGAAGTGTATGAATGGACAACAGGTGAGAGAACCAGCAAGTAGCAGTACCCGTCGCCAACCGGGAGGTCCGATTTTTTAAAAAAGATTCTTGCTTGTATTCGTACGACGCTCTTTGTTTTGTATGGTCGGTGCAGGGGAGCGGGGAAGGCAACACAGAGAAGCGGAGAAAGAGGGAAAGAAGGAAACGAATGCGACGACCGGAACACACGAGGCGCGGTGACAAACCTGATGCGATCAGTGCACCTCCGGCAGGCTTCACCGCCTTTGCCATGACTGAATTAACGAGTGTATTTCCACGTTCAGTGTTGTGATCGACGAAGTAATAATAATAATAATAATAACGGGGAAATAAATTGTGCAGCAGCGACATCAACAAAGAGAGATTGGAGCGAACGAAAAGGCAGAGGAGAAGGGCAGCTGGTGACGCAGCGTAGCAGCTCACCGCAGCGGCCAGTCTGGTGGCACCCCTCCTCTGTCAAGGCCGTTTCCCTCCGTCGGTTGATCTACATGACGGACCCCGCTCAAAATGAACCGCGCCGACGCCGCGGCTGTGCGCTGCAGCCCCCCACCACCCATCGTCCCCACCATCCCATCCTCATCCAGTTGCCCCCTCTCCAGCTCCTCGTAACGCGGCCCGGTGAGGCAGATCCCGCGCAGGTGGCAGTCACGACCGTTGAACTGGTTTTCACAGATGCAAATGTCCATCATCGTGCACCACAGCCAGCGATCCGCAACGGTCCGCCCCGCCGCAGCCAACGGCGACGCAGGACCAGCAGCAGCGGCGGGGGCGGTGTCCTTGCCCAGCACGGCCGCAACCGCACTGTACGGAAGCGGCTGCGTCGCCGTTTCGCCGTCGTCGCTCGCCTGTCGCGGGTGTTGCGGCTTCTTCGTGTCCTTTTCCCTGTCTTGCGCTGACGGGGTCGCGTCCGCCTTCTTGCCGTCTTCCACTTGATCGCTGAGCTCCATCAGCACCCACCCGTTCTCCTGCCCCACCCCGATGTCCGCCTTCGCCACCTCCGTCATGTCGCCTTCGTGGGTGCCGGCTTTCACCTTCATGACGCGTGGCGAGTAGCTCTGGTCGACGGCGCTGTTCACGTACACGGCAATCGCCTCCACCGGTGTCAGCTGACTCAGGCGAATGCGAATGACGTGCGGCAGGACACCGTCCGACTGCCAGAAGGTGTTGAGGTCGTGGTAGTGGATCAGGTGACGCACCCCGTTGCCGTGCTTGGCGCTGCTCACGCTCCACACCACGTTGCCGGCACTTCCAACGTCGATTTGGTTATTGCGTGTCACCCACTGCTCGAGTTGTCGAGTGGTGAGGACGTGGAAGGACGGCTTGGTGGAGGCGGAGGTGGAGGAGGTGGAGCGGTCGTCTTCCACCTCCTCTTCTTCTCCACGACGCTGCTGCTGCTGCTGCTGGTCTTCATCTTCGTCGGAGCCGTATTGCGCCATCGCCACCTCGCGGCGCGCACTAGGGTACATCGCCGAGTTCGTTGGAAGGAGAGAACCCCCCCCAAAAAAAACCCCCACGAATAGAATAACAATAAAGACTACGTTCTACTTCGTCCTCTGCGCACACGAAGACGGCTGTGAAGTGTGCACCACCAACGGTGTATGTATCTCTATCTATCTATCTATCTATATATGTGTGTGTGTGCTTTGCCTTATCTTTCCTGGTGTACATCAAATCGATGCTTTGCGTTTATAAAGAGAAAAGGCCGAGAGCGACGGTGGCCGTAAAAAGGAGGAGAAGGGAAAAGGGAAAGGAAAGGTGTCACGTGCGCCCTTTTCAAAGGAAGCGTGTGTGCCCGCCGCTGACGCCATCGTGTGCGGGAGGCGTCACACAACGTGCCCGCGCAAAGTGCACCACGAAGGAAAGAGGAGGAGGAAGAAGACACCGTTCCTCTTCTTCCAAACGTGAAGCTGTGATGATGTTCCCGTGGAGGTCTTGCCGGAATGCTTCCGGAACAGTAATTGAATGCGAAAAGAATCAAAAAACAGGCGTTTAGGATTCTATCTCCGTTTCCTGTGTCTGCCACGTGGCGTGTGTGTGTTCTGTTGCCTATTCGGGAGCAACACCATCGGGACAGGCACGCGTGAGAGAAACAGATATATCAGAAAGGCTTGAGATGACAAACAATGGGTGAGGAAAAACAATAGTAACGCAATACCCCCGAGCCGTGCACCACGTCTTCCTTAAAAATAAATTAAAAAACAGAACGCAGTGTGACAAGAGAGTGCCACCACCACCGCCGCAGCAAAGAAATCAACAGAGCGCCAAAATGATGATGCCAAATGATGACAATAGAAAACAAAAAACAGTAGACATACACGAGTCGCTCACGCGAAGACGGCGACCAGACGTTACACAGCCATGCCCACCTCCCCCACACCCTCTCTGGATTCGATGTCCCTCCCTTCCTCCCACACTCAAAAGAAGGTGGAGAAGTCAGGCCGGCGCGCGGCGGCAGAGGTGACAAACATCAACATCATCAACCGTAACAGCAGCAGAGAAACGAAATAAGCACCTAGTTGGGCAAGAAAGCAGAATATATGAAAAAAAGACAATGGTCAAAGACAGAAAACTACTGCAAACGCGATGCGGTGATATATATATATCCATCTACCTAAGAAAATCAAATAAGGAAACAACGAGACGACACGAGTTAAAAGGGGGAAGGGGAGGGGGGAAACAATGAACGATGACGGCAAAGAATAGTTTAAAAACAGAAACAGAGAATCGAGAAAGAAAAGGGGGGACTTCAGAAGAGAACAAGAAAAGACCTAGCGACTCCACGACTGTACAGATGGCCCCCTCCCTTTGAAATAAGAATAAAAAAAGACATGGAAACAGTTGTAACGATAAGAATGGACCTTAAGCTGACCATTTTTTCTTTGAGTTTGTTGGCTTGAGCGGTCTTTGCTATTTTTGGAGGGGGAGGGGGTGGGGAAGGAACGGGCCGATGCAGCAGCGAAATCCAAACGCCGAAGCTGTAGCCAAGAACAAGAACAGCGAAACGAGTGCCTACGCAGCGACGTTAAAAAACTACATGGAGGAGAGAAAGAAGAACAAGGGACCGAGCAGCCTCTGCCGCTTTCCATGATGTTCATCACTCGGTGAAAGAAGAAAACACACGCACACGCACAAAGAGCCTCAATTTTGTTTTTGCTCCACAAAGTGCTGAGACAAAACCGAAGGAAGAAAAGGAAAGAAAGAGACCTAAAGGTGCTCACCACACGCTTACAGCTAACCCTGCGAGAAGCGGAGCAGCGCGACTGCAACTGCAAACACCCGATAAGAGAAGGAGAGGAGAGAGAGCGGTTTCCATCACCGTTGAAGGAGCCTCGTTCCCATGTCTTCCACTTACACATGAATTTATATTCATATATTTTCAGCTGTGTGAGCTGCCACTGCTGCTGGAGGCGCGTGAGAACGAGCCCGCCGTCGACGAGCCCCGCGAAGGATAACTTGACACGGAGGACCCCGGCGAGAAGCTCCTGCGACTGCGAGAGGCGGCCGATGACGAGAGCGACGCGCTACCCACGGAGGAGGTGGCGGTGCTGCCGGTCACGCTGGAGCTCTTGCTCGCACCCGAGAAGCTCGAGCCACGCGAGGAGAAGGAGCTGGACCTCGAGAAGCTGCCCGTGCGACTGGAGCCCGCGAAGCTTGTACTCTGGGTGCGGAAGGAGCCGCTACGGCTGCTCAGGGCGCTCTCCCCGTCCTCGTTGTCGTCCGTGTAGCGCTGCTTCTTCTTGCAGCAGCAGCACAGCACCACCGTGAGCACCACCGCGACGACGGCGACGCAGCCGAGGACGATGATGAGGATCGCCCACCACGGAAACCTTTTCTTCTTCTTCGGCGCGGCGTACATCGAGTCGTCGCTCTGACACGCAACACCGTCGAGGGCCGCCGTGCCATCCACGTTGACCCACCCGTGCAAGGACGCGTCGTACACCATGTACATGAGACGTCCCACGGTGCCGTCAGCGCCCACTTTTGGATAGCCGGCGGCCCAGCGAAGCGGCACGGTGCTAGTCGGCACTCGAGTGCACGCCGCACCGGTGCAGAAGAGCCCGGGGCATGTTGTGGAGCGCCCATCATCCCAACACCAGCCATCGTAGGCGCCCATCTCCGGCACATAAAAGCCGCCGAGGTATACCCGACCCGACGGCACCGCCGCCGCCAGCAGGGTGGTTAAGTTGTCGCTGTAGAAGACAAGCGCACCGCGGTTGAAGCTCGAGGCGTTCGTGTCCGTGGCGGCGACACACGCGTCGTAGAGGCCGCGAATGGGCAGGGCTGACGGGTGCGCTGCGGCGTAGGTGGCGGGGTACTGCGAGGCGGTCAATGTGGTTGTGTACACGTACGCGTGGCACGGCAGTACGGCGGGGCAGAGGAGCACCGCGAAGAGAAGGCGAAGAAGCGAAGGAAGACCGACGGCTACGTGGGTGTTTCGACCTCCTCGCTCTTCGTTGCGCAGGCTGAAGGCGGACATGGGGACGAGGTGTACCTGAATTGGGGAGATACTTGGTGTGTACAGTATTTTCAACGGTGTCTATATGTATATATATTTTCTTCTGTGCTGTCATGTCGTAGCAGACGTGACTCAGTTACGGTAGCCCTGGAAGGGAGGTTGTGCCGTGGTGTGGGGCTTTGCGTGCTGCCTTGTCCTTCACAACGCTTCTTTTCTTATCGGGAGCAGTGGCTTACACAAGACAGAGGATGGAAAGAGAAAAAAAGGCATGATAGAGTAAGGCTCCATGAGTGGTGTCGTCCGCCTCGCATCGGGCAGGCTTATCCGTGCAGTCTCACACACCGAGTTGTCCTCCCTCTATATTGATATGCGTATATAAGCCCGCATCGGGAGTCGACTCGCTGCGCATGGACGGCATCGCACAGGGCGGCGAAATCATCGTGGATTCCCCACGATGGGGTGCCTCAAACAAGTGTCGTCGTCGCACATCCATCACAGAAGAATAACCGTACACGCTTTAAAAGAAAGAAAGGGAAGAAGAAATGCACGGTGAAGAGATAGGAAGGCAACAAAAAATTCTGTCAAGTACACCCAGAACAGATGTAAATATAAATATAAAAACCAAACCGAAACCCCTCCACACGTCATGCAGCGAGGTCATCAACAATGAAGAAGAAAGAGTTACCATAAGAATGAAACAAGGAAGGGGAGAACAACCACTTCGCCATCAGCTACCCCGACAACAGCTTAAAGGAAAAAAAAAGAGAAGAGAAAAGAAGGTTAAACAACAACATAATTTGAAACGACAACGGAAGGAAACAGGAAAGGAAAAACAAAAAACGTTGAACACGACGACGACACGCGGGCACATCCGTTGTTGCTGAATGCGAAGAAGAGGAGGAGAAGTAGCCTAGAAAGAACACACATGCATACAACGGTGCCATGAAAACAGGGGGAAAATAACAACAAGTCGAAGACGAAAGCAGAAGGAATCGGGTATGCGACGACGGAAGAACAACAGCCATTGGCTCTGGTAACGATGATGGAATGGCAGAGATTTCGATTGCGTGTCAGCGTATCTATCTTCTTTCAAAAACAAAAAAGCAAGGAAAGAAAAACCCCTTTCGAACATTATTTCTGTAGAAGTTAAAAACGACAAATACACACACACACATATATATATATATATAACATTACGGCAGAAAAAAATATATCTAAACAATAATAATATGTGTTCACATGGCAATATAAAAGGAAAAAAGAAACGGAAACAACAACAATAACAACAGAAGAAAAGTCTGACAAGGGATGCGAGTGACGCGGATCGCGGCAACGGTAAACACGACCAACGACAGAAGAAAACCCCATTTGCCTTTTCGTTTTTTAAAGCTACATCTCTCTCTCCCTCGTGCTGGTAAGTGTTTAGCGGGAATGAGAGCTGGCGCTGCTGGCCTGACTGCTAGAGGACTGCGCATCGCCACTGTACGTCGTCAGTTGCGTTGAGAACGACGAGCTACCCACGGAGGAGGACGCACTGCTGCCGGTCACGCTGGAGCCTTTGCTAGAGCCCGAGAAGCTCGAGCCACGCGAGAAGGAGCTGGACCTCGAGAAGCTGCCCGTGCGACTGGAGCCCGCGAAGCTTGTACTCTGGGTGCGGAAGGAGCCGCCGCGCCTGCGGAGGTCGTTATCAGCGTCCTCGTCGTCCGTGTAGCGCTGCTTCTTCTTGCAGCAGCAGCACAGCACCACCGTGAGCACCACCGCGACGACGGCGACGCAGCCGAGGACGATGATGAGGATCGCCCACCACGGAAATTTTTTCCTCCTCCCGCAATCGTCCGGCACCACGTTGGTGCTCTGACACGCAACACCGTCCATCACGGATGTACCGTCCACGTTGATCCACCCGTGCAAGGACGCATCGTACGCTACGTACTTGAGACTTCTTACGGTGCCGTCAGCGCCCGTCTTTGGGTAGCCGGCGGCCCAATTCGCCGCGACAATGCTGTTGACCGGCTGCGCAGTCGGCCCGGTAGCAAACACCACCGCGCTCGCCGCGTCACCGACGCCGTTCCAGTACCACGAGCTCGTGCTCGCGTTGTAGAACCCGGCGAGGTACACCTGCCCGGCAGTGACCACCTCCGCGAGGAGCTCGGTCATGGAAGGCGCCAGCACGAACAGCGCGGTGCGGCCCTCAGCAGACGCGTTGGGGTTGTTTGCGTTTTGACAAGCCGTGAAGAGGCCGAGGGTGGGATCGCGCCCGGTGTACGCGTCAGGGACCTGTGTGGCGGTGAGTGTGGTGGCGTAGATAAACGCGTAGGTGGGCAGCGTGGCGCAGCCTAACAACAACACCAACAGCAGAAGTGCGGCAACATCCGCGTACGTGAGCGTACGACGGCGAAGCGCGTTCATCTTGCCAGACGTGTGCGAAGGGGAGGTGCTTTCTTCTTGATTCTTTATGTAGGCATAGAGAGAACAACAACAGCAAGACAAAAAAAAAAGATGGATGGTGGAATGAATGAGAAGACGACACTCACACAAGAAAGTTTTTTCTCAGTCAGGGAAGCTAAAACACGTGCGTTTGAATTGTAATGGGAGAGCCCCGGCAAAACACGCACAGACAGACACAACGAGAAGAGATAAACGTTGGGCACTTACTGTGAATACGGTGCGTATTGTTGTTGTGGTGATGACATAACGTATACATACATTTATATATGTATAGTTTCATAGAGTACCAGGAAAAAGCGAAAGGAAAGAGCCAGGAAAGGGTAGTTGGTCATACGTGCCGAGCTACAATCAACGCCACCCCGTTTGCTACCGCGGCTTGACTGCGAGGCTCGCCATCTTGTAGGGGAGAAGAATACAAGGAAGGCGGTGCTGATAAAGGCAAATCGCCACCCACAGCGCCGCTAAAACGACGCAGCTTGTCAAATGGATCATTGCAAGAGAGCGGTCAGATATCTCTCCTTCTCTCTCTCTTTCTCTAAAGAAGAAAGTGGTTGTGGCGGTGCGCGCTGCGCGGCCGCGGAACGCACCGTTACCGCTTGTCAAATCATGATGACGACGATGTTGGTGCCTTCTTGCTGTTGCTGCCTTCACACGCAGTGGTGGACAGCAGAATCAAGTAGGTAGTAAATATACGTTTTACGGAGAAGCAAGTACGAGGCGAAGAGGAGAAGCGACAGCGACAGCGAGCTACGATTCTGTTCACATGAGTTCGGCAGCGCAAAAAAAACTTCATACTTTATTAATACGTTTTTTTCCATCATAAGAACTTCCCCCCTCTTTTCTTAAAGGTGTAAACACAAAAAGACCCCCCCCCAACACACACACACACCCCGAGGAAAAACAATAAAAGAAGAAGAGAAGAAATCATCGAAGGAAGGGGAGGACAACCACGACAGAAGAATCAGAAGGCGGCGCACCGAAGCAACAATAACAATAATAAAAAGACCATACTACTAACAAAGCCCAATAAGAAAACTAACCCGTGCTATGTGCACATGCGCCTTACCCTCTCCGAATACTCCGCGGAGAGGGCAAAAAGGAGAAGAGAACCCGAAGGGGTACACTGAACAGCAGCAACAACAACAAAACACACATAGAAAAACGTTGTTGATCACAAGCGGACGATACGCGACGTATGCATCCCCCTCTTCGACACTGCGGATCGTATTTTTCTTCTTCTTTTCAATCCCATCAGCGACTTCGCTGCACATGTAAAAAAGGAAACCAAGTAACAAGTGGCAAACGAGAATAAAAGACTTGAATGAGGTGTAGACAAGAGATGACATGAGGGGAAAATAATAAAACAATGCTAAAGAAGAACGCCTCTATCACAGCATTATTCCATTTAAAACTGAAACACAAAAACCAAGAAGTTTCTTGTTGAACCGCACAACAAGGAAGATGTATACACAAGTGGAGAATAACAAATAATAATAACAATAGTAAAAAAGAAAAAAAGGGGGACGTCGCCTCATCGATGCATCGACGACGACGCCGCAAAACCCCCACAAAAGAGGAGCTGTGCTACGTCACATTGTATCAATAACCGAAAACAAAACAAAAAACCCCCACGAAAACAATGCAGCAAGAAAAGCAGAGGAGGGATAGTAGCAATAACATGTGCGAAGCGGAGAACGGCACGTCCAAGAGAACCCCGCAAAATACGTCTTCTTTTGCTTGTAGCTATCTATATATAAAGCGCGACGTCGCGAGGCCCTTTGCTCTCTTGGACGACTTTGGACGTCGGGGTGTGCCACTCCCACCTTCGACCTGCCACGCGATCCGGCGTTCACCATACTCAATGAGTGAAGGGGAAAAGGAAAAGAAGAGAACGACGGTATCAACACCGAAACCCATGTCCGCAAATGCACCACACTGAGAAAAAGAGAAGAGAAGAGGAGAGATCACACGTACGCTAAATAGGCGTTACGGTTTTCTTTACACAGACACAGACAGAGACAGAGACAGACAAAAACAGTAAACGAACACTAGTAGCATTATTCATAGGTAACCACACGGAAACAACAAGAGGAGAAATAGAAATAGTAGAATGGCTAAACCTTGTATGACACGAAAAAACCAACAAACAAGACAGTGGGTAAATATAACGATGAACGCCGCAGCCGGGACACCGGCGTGATTCCGTGCGAGCAGGGAAGTCGGCAGCTACGCCATGGACGTTTCTCGCTTCTCCGCGATTTTTTTTTGTTTTCTGTAGCTGCACCCCGTATCTATTTGTCGGGTACCCACCACCACCACCACCACAGACACACGAAGACTCTCGTTAGAAGAGCAGCGAGCTCGATGGGGAGTCGCTGCCGCTGTACGACGAGTAGCTCTCAGAGGACGAGGTCCAGCGGCTACGAGCGGACGGATTTCGTCCACTCACGTAGGAGCCCCTTGAGGAGTCCGAGTAGGAGTAGGAGTAGCTGGATTTCCTCGACATGCTCGCCCGACTAAGTTTGTTGCTCGCGACGCTGCCACCCGAGCGGCGAGAGCCGAAGGAGTTGTTCGAGCGCGAGCGGGTGTACATGGACCCGCTCCGGCTGGATCGGAAGGACTTGCGTTCATCTTCTGCCTCTCCCTCCTCGTCGGAGTCTACCTCGCCGGCGCCGCGGCCATCCGCCGTCTTCTTGCAACAGCAGCGCACGATGATCACAATGAAGATGACAACGGCTGCCACGCAGCCGAGGACGATGATGAGAATCGCCCACCACGGGAACTTCTTCTTCGCTTGCGACGGCCTGTCTTGCGACTCGCACACCACCCCGTCGTAGGTGCCCGTCCCTGCCACGTTGATCCAGCCCTTCCGTGACCCGTCGTACACCATGTACTTCAACTTCCCGATCTCCTTGGTGCCGGGCTCCACCTGCGGGTAGTCCTGCACCCAGTTCAGCACAAGCAGGTTGTTCACCGGGGCGGAGAAGGGACCCTGCCCGAACTGCGTCGCCGCACCGGACGCGCCGTCGCTCCAGAACCACCCCTTCGCCACGTCGTCGTAGTAGCCGGCGATGTAGTAGGTGCCGCTGCCGACCGTCAGGCTGAGGAGGTCTGCCATCGCCCCGGTGCGAACCGTCAGTGTATTGCGATCCGTTGACGAGGCGGAGGCGTTTTGCGAGGTAAGACAGGCGTGATAGAGGCCGCCAAGAGGGTTGGCGGCGGCCGCGCCGCTTCCGGGTACATTTGCAGCAGAGAGAGCGGTGGTGTAGACGGCTGCGTCCGCGACGTGGGCGATGACGAGGCAGAGAACGACAAGCGAGCCGAGCCGCACGGCGGCGGTGGTGACGGAGGAAGAACGTTGCGAAGGATGGCTGCTTTTGCTGCTGCTGCGGCTGCGCGCTCCTCCGAGAAGGAGGCCGTGCCAACGAGACATTGGATGGCTGTTAGCTTTGTTCGTCTCCTTTGCTTTCTTTTTTGAAATACTTCTCTCCTGCTCTCTCGGCAACAACGCACGCCTTTTGCGCTCAATGGCCGGTGGTTAGAGACGTGATTGCGGTGAATGGCGCCGGTGGAACTCTACCGTGTGTGTCTGTTTGTGTGCGTGTGTGTGTGTGTGTGTGTGTGTGTTGTGTCACGCTCCTCATAGCTACCCAGAAGGGCGTGGTAAAGTTCACAGACAAAACAACAGAGAAGAAGAATGATGTTGAAAGGACGAACGGGGTTGCGAGAAGCAAGCGGCGAACCTGAAGGAAAGCCCGACAAGGCCGTACGACGGAGAGGTGGAAGGCACGCGGCAACAACCAAGTCCATCTGTTATTCTACGCTGCGAGGCGTGTGGGGAAACAACAACAGCAAAGAAAGAGTACATCTGCCCACCATTTACACGCTCTCTTTTTCCTTTCTTTCAAGTTCCTTCAAAACAACAACAACGGAACAGAGAAAAACCATAAAAAATAGAGATTAATGGCAGGAAAGAAAAATGAGAAAAGAGAAAGAAAGACGCGGCCGAGAGCCACAAAAACTACGGCGGAAAGCACTTTGAAATCAACCAATATATATATATATATATATATATAATATGTATATCACAGCACAGCGGCGGCGCGATACGTCGGCGCCCCGTCTCAAAAACACACGCAGCACGCAGCAATCCCCCAAAACAAAGAACGAAAACAAAATAAAAAGTAACGCAAGAACAACAACAACGCCCTTTCGATGCTCCACCATTTCGCCCACCCATCGGACTGAAATACACCCCTACCACACACACCCATACGCGCGTAGGTCAGCTTCTCATCCTTTTTCCCCCTTCCCTCCTAAAAGAAGCCCATTGGGTTCTCCGTAGCCTGCAGCTGCTCCTCGATCCACTGAATTTGCGCCTCATCCAAGCTGTCCGCGTACGCGCTGCTGTTCACTTCCCACTCCTCGTCCTCGACCCCGTCGTACGCCGCGGCGCCCTGCTCGGCAGGCGGCTGCTTCGGGTCAAGCAGCGACACCGTCGAGGACGCCACGCTCGCGCAGCTCAGCGAAACGGTGCGATGAAGTCGACGATCGGATGAGAAGCGGAGACGGGCTGCCCCAGTGCCGGCACCGCTGCCGGAGTGGTACCAGTAGCCTCCGCCGAAGGTTGTGCCGGACCGACTCGCGGCCTGCGAAAACGGTGGCGACGACGCAGATCCATGCTGCTGCTGCTGTTGCTGCGACAGTCTGGTGTAGGAATGCGTGTAGGCGTCAGGCGAGTGGGGGCTTGCGTGTGGCGAGGCGCCCGCCGGGTAGGCCGGCCGCCAGTCCCCCGTCACGACAGCCGCACCACCACCACCGCCGCCGCTGCTCACGCCGTCGTCGATGTCCACCTCGCTCTCGTCATCTTCAATCACGTCGGCCTCCGCATCGGCGAAGAGTGTGTCCAACAGCGTTGTCTCATCCTTCGCGGCCACGTCCGACACGGCGACCCGGTTGTGCCGCACCCGGTCGGCGTCACTTTCCCGCGGCATGGTGGGACTGAAGCCCAGCGCGGGCGGAGGGGCGAAGGACATGGACATGGAATTGTTTCCCCCCGTTGCCGCCGTCACAGCACCGCCGCCACCGCCGCCGCTCGCGGGGCTGCTGCTCGACCCGTTGCGTGGCAGCGGCGGGTTACTCAGCAGTAAGGAGGAGGAGTTCAGCAGGCTCAGCTGCGGGCTGCCGAGGTAGCTCGAGCCGCTGCTGTGCGAGGCGCAGCCCATCCTAGTTGGGGACATCGAGGTGGCGGCGGCGGCGGAAACGGCAACCACCGCTGTCGCACTCCGGCCGACCCCGACCCCGTTGCTACTGCTTACATCGGTTAAACTGTGATGGGTGTCGACGCTGCGCAGACTGCTGAGCGAGGGATAGCCGTGTTGTTGCAAGGGGGATGAGTGGTGGTGGGCGGCGGGGCTGCCGAAGACGGACGAAAACGGTACGGCAGGGAACTCACGCGTGCCGTAGTCCGCAGAGCTGGCGGAGCGGACGGCGTTGGCGGTGTGACCGCCGCTGATCCGCGAGGGCGTCAATGCAGCGGGGACACCTCCCACACCACCACCACTCCCACCAGTCGTCGACGCCGCAACTGCCGCCGCTACACCGCTGTTCACGTGCAGATGACCCCCACCGGTGCCATCCACGACAGCCCACATGCCCTTCGGCGAGCCAGACGGCGTGGTGAGGGTGGACGACGACATGCGAGCGCCGGTGGCGGTGTTGGTCACCGTCATGGCTGAGCGCTGAATGGCCGGTGCAGTCGCGGGCCTATTACTGTTATTAGAACTGTTCATCGCTGCCGCTGTTGCTGAGGTTATGGCTGCTGCTGTGCTCGTCATGCTCGTTGCGGCGGTGACGGTGCCCAGCGCGGGGGACACCATCAGTGTCGAACCGCCGCTGCTTTCCCCATCGTCCTCGCGCATGACGGAGGACGGAGGAGAGGATTGGCTGCCCCAGGCTGTTACTGCTTCGTCTGCTGCTGCTGCTGCTGCGGCCGCGCCTCTGGCAGAGCCCGGTGAGGAGATACGCGTGGAATGAATGTAGTCATTGACCTGTGTGCGGGTTACACCGCCGTGGCCGGCCGAGGCAGCACCAAGGACGCCAACCGCGCCAGGCGAGCTGCGGCTGTGACTGCCGACACTCTCCCGCAGCGGTGACGGCTCGGACTGCAGCAGCGACGGCGAGTGCACCGTAGACGAGCCGGGGCTTTCGACGAGCGACTGCGGACTGCGTGTTACGAGCATCATCATGACCCTCTCATCATGTCTATCACCACCACCGTCTTCTGTGATGTTGTAGTAGCGGCTGGCTGCGGTAGAACCGTGCACCGCTGTGGGCTCCACCAGACCGCGCGTGACGCCGCTGTGCGTGAGCCGCGACGGCAGCGCAGGAGAGGTGGAGAAAACGGGCAGCGCCTCTGTGCTTTCTGGTGCCGCCGCTGCTGTTGCTGCCGCCGCCACGTGTACCTCACCGACGCCTCTCGTGAGCGTCGAGGTGATCGTCACGGCGGGCACGGCGGTAGACGCCACACAGGTGGACCCGATCCCTGAGGCAAGGGCTGGTGCGGCAAAGAATGGGAAGCCTTCCCCCAGATGCAGGGCGGTGCCCGCGCTGGTGGTTGCTGCCATTGTCATCGCTGCTGTGGGCTTTTCGGACGGCAGGGGAAAAGAAAACATCGGCGCGGCGGACACCCCCGCGAGCACCGCGGCATCTGTGCCAAACGTGGGGGGCCCGGTTGGGCGCCACGGCGCGGCTTCGAAGCGCAGCCCACGGCGACGCAGTTGCGCGTCCTCGTCGGAGATTCGTGATGGAGCAGCAGCAGCAGCAGCAGTTGTAGCCGCAGTAACGCCTGCGACTGCTGGTGGCATCATCTGCGCTGCATACGTCTCTATCCAGTTTGCTTCATCCTCCTTCGTTCTTTCCTCCGATCCCCCGTCGTCCACCACCCTGGCAGCGGAGGACGGCGCAAAGGGAGGGGGCTGAGGCGAGATCCCCGCAGCGGTGGTCACCACCTTCACTACACACGGGTCAGGCGGGCATTCCATCCTGACGGGCGGGGTGGTGGCTGCATCCATCGCTGCTAACGCCGGTGACGCGTCCTCCCGCACAAACGGAGGCCGTGCATGGTGTTCCGGCACAACGGAGTCACGCAACGCGCGTGGTAGGCCGGCGCTGTCTTGTGAAGTTGGCTCGGGCGATGCTGGCGGCGTGGCCGTGGCACTGCGCTGTTGCGACGCAGAGACACCGCCAACACCATGGCGGTTGTTATTGTGGTTTCTACTGCTGTTACCGCCAGACCGCAGTTGCGGTGCAGATGACGGCTGCGGCTCCATCGAAACCGAGGTGGGAGCCGAGGTTTTAACGTTCTGTGGTTGTAGTTGTATTTGCGGGGATGGCTGTGATGACTTCGCTGCTGTAGACGACGCCGCTTCGCTCTCGCGTAGGCGCTTTGCCGGGATGGACGCGGTGACGCCCTGCATGTTTTTGTTTTTGCTCTTCGCCGCGTGATGAGCACGACGCTTATCGGTTTGTTGGCTGTGAAGAGACTTTTCCACCGCGGCAGCTTTGTCCGTGGCGGGCGTCGCAGTGGGAAATTGCTGGGACTGCGGGAGCTCTTCGCCGTACTCCGTCGTTGTTGCGCTCTGACCTACTCCTTCTACAACCCCTTCGCCTACCGTGTACCTTTCCTCATCGGGGGAAGGAGTGACACGATGCCTCTCGCGTACCTTCCCGCCAACGTTGCTGCGCTGCTGCGTAGGCTGATGAGGAAAAGGAGATGAACGGGTCTGCGACGGCGCGTTATGCTTCTTGGGTTGGCCGTTGTTCAGCGTTATGGCAGCAGCTGCAGGAGCAGCAGCAGCGCCGCCACGGGACGTTGGGGTGCTTCGCTGAGGTCTCCCTCTATTAACACTGTTGTCATTGTGAGTCCTGTTGCTGTTGCGGGTGCCACTGCCCCTCGTTTGATCGGGTTTGGTGCGGTTTGCATGCTGCTGCTCCACCGCTGCTGTCGCTGTGTCGTGCACTTCCTTGCCCGTGTCCGCTGCTTCTGCTGGTACCGCCGACACCTCTCCTACGCCGGCTGCCGGTGAGGATGCCACCGCAGCACGCTCTCCGCCGCCGTTATCTTCTTCGCCCCCTTCATCCTCACTGTTTCTCGTGTTCCGTCGTCCACGGTGCGGCTTTCGCTTACTGGAGCGCCTTCCGACAGACCCGGCGGCCGCCGTCGCCACCGCCGCATTATCATTGTTGTTATTGCTGCTGCTGTTCGCGGTTCCACCCGACAACCGGCTAAAGGTCTTGAGGGGTTTTCGCGTGCCAAATCGATTGTTGTTGCTGCTGCGAGCGTTTGCCGGCGATGACGACACTGATGACGGGAGCACACCGGGCGAGGCGGAGGCCGGAGAACTGCCGAAGACAGGGCTGGAGGACAGGGAGCCGGAGGCAGCTCCCCGTTTTGTGTTCCACATCCTCGTGTCGTGTTTTTCTTTTCTTCTGTGTTTTGCAAGTTTTCAATAAAATAACAACGAAACGGAAATCGACTTGCAAAGCTGCACGGGCAGGAGGGATTGCGTGTGCGCGTGCGTGTGCAGCCAGAAAAGAACCAAAGGAAAAAAATGGACGAAGAGAGGGGGCAGAGGAGGGGTCTGATGGAGCAGGCGAGAAGCTGGACGTGGACGAGGGGGGCAACGAATACGAGAGAAAAAAGAATAAACAATAAAACGTAAATAGAGAAGCAGAGGAACAACAGCAACAACAATAATAATTTGCTTTCAAAAATGAGGCACGCACAAACCCCACCCATTCCTCACCAGCTGGGAGGAGGAGGAGGAGGAGGGGTGGGGTGGGGAAGCAAAACAAGCAAAAAAAAAGGAAGGGGAGGGAGGGTGGGGAGCGTCCCCTCACGTTTGGGATCAAACGAAGGCACTACGATTCAGCGGAAACGAAAAGAGAAACACAAGGGAGGATCGTCGGGTTTTTTATTATTATCTTGTTTTTTGTTTTTATGCGAGAGAGACCTAAACCCCCACGCAGGCGCATTGAGATGCCGAGCACGGAAAGGTGTGTGGATCAGCAAACCCGTTGCTGCTGAGAGAGGGGGGTTCTCGGGGAAACCCGTCTAACCGCGTGCTGCAAATAGAAATATATATATATATATATATAGATATTTACAATGAAAATGGGCTTTTCCCCCTCCACCTCCTACTCTTTAATGAAAGTGGCCGTTTTGTTCTTCCTTTCAACAATCTGTGCTCGAATCGCCGCGGTGGTGCGAGAACGCCGTGAAGGGCCGACGCTGACGCACCGAGAGGGAAACGTAATAAATAAATAGAGAAAAGAAAAGAAAAGGGCGAACCGTGGGAAGGGAGGATGCCCCCCCAAAGCTTCAAAAAACAACAACTTGAAGATGCAAGACGGACGGAGAGGCGTTTCTTCGCGCCTTTTCTCCCTTTTGTTTATGTTGAAGAAGAACAAGAGGCCGTAAAGCGGTGAGGATAGGAGGAGGCGAAGGGCGTTGCAATACACCGAATGGAGGGTATGTGTGTGTGAAGCGAAGGGGAGCAATAGCCGATGTTCACGTAAGGTTACAAGAGAAGAAGAGTTGCGGTGATGTTTGTTGACCTCAGCAACATATATATTTGTTTTTGGTTCAGTGAGATATGAATGCGCGAGTAAAGCGGGCTGCAGGAGGCGTGTAGGAGCGGGGGAATGAGCCACGGTGCCACCGAACGAAGCGCGAAGACAAATACAACGAGACACGAAACATACACACACACAACGGGAGAGTGAGAGGAGAAGAGGCAAGACAAGGAGGAGCGATGACACACAACACACACACACACACACACACGCGCACACAGGATTCGACACGTTTATAGGTCCGGTGGCGGTAGGAACGCGCAGGCACGCCTCCTCTCACCCTTCACCCTTCACTACGTCGTGTGAACTCTTCTTGCCGTTTTCTTATTTGCTCGTTGATGATTACTTCACGTATTACGCTGTTTGGAACGACCCGTTGCGACGCACAATGAAACCAACGCATAGACAAAAGGAAGAAAGAATAAATATATTACCGTCCGAATCACTGAGAGACGACGCACCTCAACACTTGATCACAACAAGCTGTTTAGCACCAGCACCACCAACGGTATCATCTCTTTACTATATCAGAATAGTAAAAAAGCAAATGGCGTACGAGCACGCCACACTTACAGATGGGAAAAATATAAAAATATAAATAAATCAGAGGTAGACAAACAACACAACACAACAGAACAGAGGAAGTAATGCTAATACTCATATTCGAAGAAAGAAAGAAGGTTGAAGAGAGATTTGCGGGAGACCGGTGTTTATTTCGAGATGATCGCCTTGCAGCAACAGGTAGGAAAAATAGGAAGATAACTAAATAGCCAAGAACACCCAGGTACCTTTCGTCATTCAACTATTTTTCTTCTCCCCAGTGCGGATGACCGTGCGTGTAAACGGACGAGAAAGAACCGCCCACCACCCCACACACAGGCTGAGAAACATGAACTACAAGGTCCCTCTCACGGCGAGGCACCTGCGACAGTCACTGCCGGCATTATTCCCTTTACTATTTCCTCCCCTTCACGACTTCTTCTTCGCCTTTTAAAGGAGCTGCGTAAAAGTTTTTGTGTGAGAGAAAGAGAGAAGAGGAATCACAGGAAAAAGATCAAGAAAGGGTGGGTAAGCGAAACAAGCCGGTTCGACCTCCCGCTCGCCCGCGCGTGTGTGGACGACTGACAGGACCCTCGACACGACAACAAAAGAATCAACCCAACAAAGACAAGAGGGACAGACGTGTGGTGCTCCACCAACAACAGTAACCGCAAAACAGAGGAAGGAACCACCACAACACAGAAAAAAGCAGGTCCATTCTCGCACACTCCGACTTCCCCCCCTCTCCCCTTCACACGCCGCGTCAAACCTGCCACCCGCCACTTCTCCGTCGCTTCGTTTCCATCTCCCGCTGCTCCGCGCGCGCCCTCTTCTTCGCCGCTGGTGCGTCGGTTCACGCCGCCATGGACTCCCGGATGTCGCGCACGATCGACTGCGCCTCGTCATCGTTTGGGCTCACCTCGAGCGCCTTGTTCGCCGCCTCCAGCGCCGCGTCGAGCTGGTCGCCGTCTGCCAGAATCGCAGCCTTCGCCTTCAGCAGCGTCGTCATCGTCTCCTTGGCGGAGCTGCCGATCACGTCGATCTCCTCCTGCGGCGGGTGCTCCAGCGACGCCGCCACGAAGGCGAGGGCGGCCTCGTCCCCCTCCACCTCGCTCAGCAGGAACGCCTTCTCACGGAAGGTGTTCGCCAGCGGGTGCACCTCGAGACTGCGGTTCAGCAGCTGCAGCAGCTCGCCGTTCACGGCGGCGTGACCAGCCTCGTCGTTGCGCTCCTCGGCGGCCCGGGCGAGCTGTTGCAGCACCCCCACCTGCCGCTCAATAGCCTTGGCGTAGTGCGGGCACTTCTCGAGTGCCTTGCTGTACGCCTCCTTCGCCTTGGCATAGTCGCCGATGGCCACGTAGACGTCGCCCAGCACGACGTAACCGCAGTGATCACGGTCCCAGCCAAGCCGCACCGCGAGCTCCGCCGCTGCCCGCGCCTGGACGAGCGCGTCGGTCGCACGGGGGGCCGCGCCCGGCCCAGTCGAGGTGTCGTCCTCCACCGACCGCAACAGCAAATCCGCCAGGTACGAGTACACGCGCGCAAAAGCCGACTTCGTCTGCGCGCTCGCGGCGTCGCCACCACCGTTGCGCTGCGGGTCCTGCGCCTCCAGGTAGGCCTTCACCTGCTCCAGCGCGATCTCCGCACTGCTGGACACCTCTGTCACGCGAAACCGCATAAGGTCGGCGAGCACCTTCTGATCGATGAGCTGGTACTTACCGGCGGCGATGGCGAACTGCTCCGCGGCATCTTCGAGGTCGTGCATCTGCAGCGTGATTTCCGCGAGGGCGTCGAGGTAGACGGCGAGGACAAACGGCGGCGCGCCCTCGGCCTTGAAGGTGAAGACGCGCATGGCGGCCAGCAGGTACTCGCGGTCCCACAAGCTGTAACCCTCGCTAATCGGTTTTTTGGAGTAAATCTTCGACAGCGACTCCGTGCGCTTGCGTGTTTGGGACATGGTTGCAGAGGCGGTGATGATCGTGCTGGAGATGCGCGGTGGAAATAGAAACGGAAGAAGAGTATATATAAATATATTCCTCGAGTGGCGATGGCAGCACCGAATGGAGCTGCGAGCCAGACACGTCGATGATGCCTCTGACCGATCGGTAAAAGGGGAAGAGAAGGGGGGAGGAAAAAGGAAAGGAAGGATCAGCAAGAGCAGCAGCAACACCTTGAACTGCACGATAGAAGGCAGTGAAAGAGGAACAGCGAACGATCGAAGCACACACACACTACCCCCCCCTGCCCCTTAAAATAAAGAAAGGAGCCAAAAATATAGTGAAGATACTTGACTACGCTGAAGCTGCTTCAGCAAAGCAAAAAGCAAAAGAAGAGGTGTATATATATTTAGACGTAGATGTGTGTATCTGTGGCGGTGCACGTTTTTTTCTTTGTGAATGATGACGATGGCGATGCCGATGATGATCAAACCAACTTCTGAAGTATAGTCCAGAGAGAGAGAGAGAGAGAGAGAGACGGAGAAAGAGGTTCGTGGCTAAGCGCGGCAAACACAACAGGAAAAGTAAAATCCCAGCGAAACGCAGCACAGAAAAGTTAACTACCCAAAATTTTTGTGTTCGGAAGAAAAGAAAAAAAATGAGGGGCAATAGAGTTTTTGCTTCTTTAAAAATCGAGATCTGGCAGAGAAGAAGAAGAGATGAGGAGGAAGAAGAACGAGGAAGTGCAGCGGTGGAACAGGCTCAGGCACGCGTAGTGTTGAGATGAGCGGCAGGGGGGGGGGGGGCGAAGAAAGCGTTCCATATTTGTGGCAGACGTCGATGGTGGATACAGCCCTTCGTCTTCTTTCGTACAGGCACCCAACTCAGCAAAGAGGCTTCTCTTTTGAGATGGAGTGAGGAAGAAAGGTAGGCATGAAAAGAGGAGCTGCGAGGCAGCAGCAGCAGCAGCGACAACATTATGTTTCTTTTTTAAAATTGTTTAGATGGACACAGCGTTGCTGGAGGTACGAAAACACAGCCGCAAATTGTGTCGCACGTGACCAACACACGTAAACCCTCTCCTCTCTCCTCTTGAAACACACACACACACACACTTACAGAACAAACACCTGCCACGACGTTCATTACACGATAAAAGAAAGAGGAGGACATGTGTGGATAGCAACACCAACGAAAAACGGAGAGGAATAATACAAACGGAAAACACTGTCTACCACAGCGGTCTGCACTTGAGAGTACAGCAGCAGCAACCCACCACCACTACAGTTCAGCTAACCGCCTTCACGCGAGTTCACACAGCAAAACAAATGGGAAGAGATTTACGTGATCATTTAGTTAATATTTACTACCAGAAACAACATCAGAAAAGATGGTGATCATCAGCATCATCATCATCATCATCCAACACAACAACAACAACAAAAACAGACGTCTACGAGTGCTTCGGTAGTGTTACAACTCAAAGAACAAGAAAAAATAGAAAAGAGAGACACGCCTATTACGCTACAGAGAAGAGAGGGAAAGCAAACACACCAACGAATCAACACTGCGGAGAGCCGACGACATGAAGAGCCCACACAAGAAGTAGAGCCCTCCGTTCGATCTAAACACGCAAACACACACACACACACGCACGGAACAGCACAAAGACTATTGAATGTTCTCCACAGTGACCTGCGCGGCCGCCTCGGGAGACTCCGGCCTCTTGAGGTACTTCTTATACACGAAATACGTCCCGTAGACCATGCCCGCTGGCAGAATAAGCAGAATCGGAATCACCCACCACGACACCTTCGACGTCGCGTCGTTGTCCTCCGCATCCGGCACCTCCTCGGGCGACGCGGTGGTGTACGGAATGGACAGGAAGATGTCGCGCCACGCAACTTCTTGCGCAGGGGAGGCGGGGAGCGCGGCCGGCGTGACCGCGACTGCCGTGTGCAGATCCGCACCGTTGCTCATGGTGAAATTGACAGTCAGTGGGTAGAGCGCTAGCGCCGCTCTTGCCGTGCGTGGGACGAGCGTGGTGAGCAGCGCCGGTCCGGAGACGTTGCTGCGCAGTGCGGCGACAGCGCGGTAGAGCAGCTCCGGCGATGCCATCCGCACGGCCGTGTTCGCCGTGGCGTTGTGTACGACGGCGTCCGCAGCGATGGTGACGACCAACGCGTAGGTGGGCAGCTGCGGTGCGTCCAGTGAGCCACTCGTGGCTTCCACAGCAGCACCTTCCGCTGTGGCGTAGGCTCGTGCGCGATGTCGTGCCTGGACAGCCTGCACTGCGAAGAGACGTACTTCATCCACAGCAGCGGGCGTCTGTCGGAGGACCGGCGGCTGCACCGGTGCTGCGGTGGTACTCGTAGTTGTTGATGTAGTTGTGGTAGTGGTAGTGGCGGGTGCCGCGGTGGATGTGTTGCGCTGCGGCAGTGTCACGTCCCCCGAGTGTGCCAGCTGCACGACGACTACCGCCGCCTCCACGCCGAGCCGCTTTGCCAGTGCGTTTTGAAAGCGCGTGAGTGATGCCGCCTCAATCGTCAGCAAAAGCGATGACGACGACGAGGAGGAAGGAGTACTGCTCGAGCTGTTGGAAGCAGGGCGAGCCAGAAGCTCCATCACCATCGACGTCTCCCGCATCCACAGCAATGCCGGGGTGGTGGTGGTGGTGTTCGCCGTTGTGGTCCGCGTCGCCGGCGCACGCGCGCGGAGGTACAGTGGCCACGGACTGAGCCGCACTGCCGCGGTGCTGCTGGCGGTGGCGGCCGACACTGTCGCCATCCACTGCTGAGGATCTTCTTCACCTGCACTTGCGAAGGCCGCACGCGCGACATCAGCGCTGTAAAACCGGGTCCCGTCCGTGCTCAGACAAACCAAGATCGACTCACCGTTGCTGCGCGCCGCCGCCGCCGCCTCAGTCGCGGCGCGACCCAGCAGAAGCGGGCCGTTGATCGGCGGTGACGTGTGTGTCGTCCCGGACGTGTTCTGTGTCCACATCTCCGCCGTGCTCTTCACCCAGTCCGCATGGCCCAGGACAGCGTTCATCTTGTCAAAGGCCGCCAGGCGTGCGCTGCTCGCTTGTGCACCGCGCCACGCTTCCACCGCCGCCGTGTCCGCTGACGACCACACACCGCCATGCTGGAGGTTCACGACGAAGATCGGCGCGGCCAGCGGAGAGGTCGGTGTGGCGTTGCGCCAGGCGTCTGTGCTGTTGGACGCGCGGAAGACCGTAAAAAGCTCCGGCACCGCGTGTGCACCGTCGCAGCGCGCACCGTGCAGGCTCGTACGGACCAGCGCCACCGCTGCCGCCACTGTGGGAACATCCAACAAGGACGACGATGGCGAAGACGCCACCGGCAGGCCACGCCCACTCGCCGGTCCCACACCGTTGCCAACGAACGCACTCGTCCAGACATAGTCATAGCGATGCGGTCGCGCTGCGTAGACGGACCCGCTTGCACCGTCTACACGGCTGAAGGACACAACGTGAGGGATGTTCGTCGTGATCTCGCTATCCGCGGCGGCGCTTGTGGAAAGCAGCTGCACGCGCACCGCCGTCGCGGTCGCGTTGACGGCGGCCCACTGAAGCTGCTCGGGCGTTGCGTCTACAAACGATACTACAGCGGCGGCGCGGCTCGCGGAGAGGGAGGTGATGGTGGGCGGCACAACGACGGCTGTGAAAGAAATAGCAGAAGTCGCTGCCGCCGTATGTGTGCTGTCGCTGTGGAAGCCGTTACTGCTGGGGGTTGTCGCGTCAAGGGCGACCCCGGCAGGATGGAAGGACAGGCCTTCATCTACGCTGTAGCACACCATATAGCGGACCAAGGCGCTCTTGTTCGACGACTGCGTCTGCCATTCCACCTCCTGCAGGTAGGCCGCATCCACCTTCCACACGCCGTCTTGTGCGTTGTACCACGGGGTAGACAGCAGCTTTCCAGAGCCCGCTGCGCTGTCGTCGTTGCGCACGAGCAGCGAGGCGCCGGTGAGGGGGTCCCACGACTCCGGCACCCCCGCACACCCGTTCGACCACATCACCGTCTCATTCGCTGCACTACTTGTGTTGCTGCTGCTGCTGCTGTTAACGGACGGCGACGACAATGAAGGGAGGCGTCGCGTTACCCGCTGTGCCGCACTCGGGGCAAACGCCAGGAGCAGCGGAACGCCTCGCACCTCCACGGCTGTCCCTGCCACGGCGAGTTCCGCGTTGCTGCTCTGCGCGAGTGCCACTACACTGTTCGCGGATGTGGATGTGCTGCTGCCAACCTCCTCCTCCTCGCTGATCGCGGCGTCGCTGATGGACAGGATCGTCCACCTCCGCGAAACGTGTAAGCGTAGTGGCGTCGCTGCATAAACGGCGGTGTGCATCGTCGCCGCCGCCGTGGTTTCCGGTGCGTCACTCGTCATCTTGGCCATCGGCTGTAGCGTCGAAACGAAGGGCAGGTCTTGACGCAGACACAATGCATACGTTCCGTCTGGTACGTAGCGCAGGCTCATCGGGAGTTGCATGGCGCGGAAGGGAGAGGCCGAAGATGGGGTGGTCAAGGCGCCCCATGAACCCAGCTGCACCGTCGGCAGGTCCATCACATACGACGCATCCACCGCAGTCGGGTCATCGCACGCGGCGGCGCGCATCGGCACCACCCGCACACGCACGCCATCGCGCACGCCGGCGCTACACACGCCCGGCGCCGTGCTCGTGTGCAGGCCAACATCCTGCGGACGCACAAACACGTCGCGCTGCGATGATGCGCCGTAACACGTCAGCGACCACGGCACCACCGTCAGTGTTAGGTTGGTGGGTAGATTCTGCAGGCGGTTGTCAAGCGAGAAGCGCAGCGGCTGGGGTTGCTGCTGCTGCTGTTGCGTGCCCGTCTGTGCCACCTTCGAGGAAGCCGGTAAGTACAAGAGACCGTCCATGGCGAAGCCGTCATCGCCGATGAAGCCACTCCACAGCATCGTCGTCGTCAGCTGACCCAGATCGGCCAGCACCTGCAGGATGCTCCCACTCTCGTTCGTCAGCAGCCGTGGGACAACAAAGCGGGTGTCCGTGAGACGCCGCGCCGTGCTGCTCAGGGCGTACACCCGCATTGCAGTCGTCGTGCCACGCATGCGCGTCGACTTCACGGCTACACCGCCGTCGTTGCTGCTCTCCTCCTCCGCCGCCGCCGCTGGCTCTTCTTCCTCCGCCACGTCCTCGCGGTTCTCGTCGTCCTCCGTGTCAAGGCTCACCCGCAGCGTCGGGGCCCAGTCTTCCGTGTACTGCGCGATGCCCACCGCCAGGTACTGCCGTCCACCGTCCACGGAGAGGCAGACGGAGCCGCGCGCCGTCAGGGGGAACTGTGGCACCGGCAGCCCATCCCCGCTCGGCAGCGAAGCGACGAGGGACTCATTCAGATTCCCCGCCGCAGCTGCTGATGGTGCATTGGCACTGTCAGACGCATGCTGCTCCATCAAGAGAGGCGCAACGGACACGGCGTCGGCGGAGAACCACAGCTGCATGCCCGCGTACGACGCGACGTAGGGAGAGACGGCGGTAACCGGCGGCGGTGCGCTGGCCGGACGATAGCACGGACGACCCACGTACAGCCGCGCCAGCGAGAGCAGCGACATCGCGGACGGACTCCGCTGTATGCGCTGCAGCAGTTCGTCTTGCGGACTCAGGTCATTCGATAGCGACGAAGACGAGGCCGAAGACGGAGACGCAGAAGGCGTCGCCCCCATGAGCACCCGCAGTAGCAGATCCTCCTCACCACCACGACGCAGCACCACGTGATTGACGTTGTCCGCCCTCATCGCCTCCGTCGGCGTCCAGGCGTGCAGGGAGACCTGGTCTACCTGCACCGCCATCACACGATAGTACACGCCGTACCACTGGAAGGCCGAGGTCACGGCGCCCATCTCGTTCTCCGCGTTGCTCGCGTCTGACCGCTGCGCGGCGGTGGCGGAGGCGGCCGCGTCAACGTTTCGGAAGCACAGGAGAAGCCGCGCGCCGGTCACCGCCGCGGTGTGGTTCTTCGTCAAGGTGATGGTGTTCGGTACGTTCACCGTCAGCAGCGGCAGGCCGTGCGTGTTCACGCTGCACGAGGCGGAGAGGAGCACCTGCGTGCCGACCCGCACGTACACCACCGGCGTGGGCGTAGGGACGGTGCGGCTGTCTTGGCTGGTGCTGTTGGTAGAGTCCGTCGAGGCGTTCGTGGGGTAGGGAAGTCCCTTCGCTACGCGCACCAACTCGGATAGGTCGACGCTGCCACGGCTGTGCTGCGGGACAAGAAGGGTGTTGGACAGAATCTCCTCCAGCAGGTTGCGGTACCTCGTCTCGGTGTCCGTCTGCAGACGCGATGATAGCACGCGAAGCCGCAGCGAGGTTCGCTTGTAGGTGTGTCCGTCGTTGGTGGAGAGGCAGACTGGAATCCCGCGAGAGCCGTTGCGGGCGTCTTCGGACTCCAGAAGATGAGTGTTGGGGACTAAGAAGACACCATTATCGTCTTCAATCGTCAACGGTTCGGCGTAGAGGCGCGGGTTGGCCAGCTCCTGCCACTCCGACACACGCGCGAGGTAGTCGCTCGTTGATGATGCTGACGTGCTGTTGTCATCCGCGCTGTCACGGCCGCTGCTGCCGGGACCAGCTTTGCTGCTGCTGTTGCTCGTGCTTGTGTCGGGCGGTGCCATCTCCTCCTCACAGAAGCTGCCGAAGCGTAGTTTGTGGCCGCGCTCGATGCCGTAGCCGTTGAGGTAGACTACCTGACTGCCATCCTGCGCATAGAGGAAGAGGGTGGTGTTGCCACCGATCGGGATGCCGGTCCCCCTGTCCATCTCAGCCGTCGTCACCGCCTCCACATCGGATTTGTGTGCCGGGAACGGCGCGGTGGTGTTGCTTGCGTCGTCGGCGCGGAGGCGGAAGCTGGTAGGGATCGCGCGGGTGTACTGCAGCTGCAGCATCGGATACGTCGGCTCCCGCCACCGCTCCGCTGCCGTCTCGAGACACATGATCCACGGCTGCGTCATGTTCGGCATCACACGCGACACGCGGTCGCTGTCGCTGCTCGTCGCGCCGTCCGCCACACTCAACGAATGTGGCAGCGTCAGCACACCGAAGTCCAGCACGTAGGGGCCACGCAGCACATCCTCCGGGACCGCTTCCGCGTCGACGAAGCAGGGGTCTCCGTCGCCGTCGAGCGGCTTCACAAACATCACGCGACGATGATCGCCACAGGGAACGAGCTCCTCCTCTACACCGCGAGCGCTGCTGTCTTCCGCGTTGTTCGTGCTGGAGAAGGAGGAAAAAGAGGAAGACGCGTTTGGCGGCGGGAGACACCACAGCGCGAGCGAGACCTGCTGCCCGGCCGCCCCCACAATATTCACCGTGTTGACCTCGCCGGTGTTCCACTCCAGCGCCACCTTCGTCGGGGCCAGCGCCGTCAGCGCCGCCACGTCCTCGCTGCCATCGGCAGGGAAGTAGCGGTAGTGCGTCGGGCGTCGCACGTGCGGCATCACGTTGAGTGTGATGGACGGGGCGGCGCGCCAGGCAAGAGAGCGCTGCGGCTGCAGGCACAGCACGTACGCCGCAGGGGCCGCCAGCGCACGGATAAGGTTCTGCGAGAGGACGATGTAGTACCCGTGCACGATCACACTCGTGCCGCCTTCCAACTCGCTCGACGCGTCGTCCTGGCCGAAGAGCGCGAAGCCGGTGAAGTCGTTTTGGATGGGGATGTCTGGCAGCTTGCCTCCACCGGCCGTCTTCGTCGCCACCATCGGCTCCCCGCACAAGTCAGCGGAGGTTTGGAAGCGCACGACACTGCGGTTCGTCAGCATCGACCCCGAGATGGGCAGCGTCCACTCCTGCCCCTGCTCCACCGTCACCGTCGTCGTGTGGTTCAGCGCGAAGACGCCGTAGACGGCCTGGACGAGCTCCACCCGCAGCCCGTCTAGGTTGAAAAACTGCAGTGCCGCCTCGACGCCGTCGTCTGCAGCGGCCAACGTGGGATAGACGGCGCTGGCACACAGCCGGTAGCTGCCCGCCGTCGTCAGCAACCGCGGCAGCAACACGGCCGACCCGTTCACGGCGGCAGAGGAGGCGTTACGGAAGGTGTCGAGGCCCTGGTGAAGGTAGGAGTTCTTCACCGCGTGGCAGGTGTAGGCCTCTGGGGCGAGGAAGAGGTGGAGAGGGCTGCCGATCTCATCCACCACGTCGACGAGTGGGCCGACGAGCTGCATCGGGAACCACCGGCCGTTGGAGAGGTGCTGGGTGGGCAGGACGAGCGTCGTGGACGGCGGTGCGCCGCGGCGGGCGTTCTCGAGGGCAAAGCCGTGTATCGCTGGCAGCACCAACTGATAAGGGATGCCCGCCGAGACGTAACCGGAGGTGTTTGATGTTGTTTCCGTTGCTGCTGCTGTTGCTGACGCGGTCGTCGTCTCGCCATCCTCGGCGATGCGGACACACCACTGGAAGCGGTGTACCACCTGCCCGCTGCTGACGGACGTGTCTGAGCCGAAGCGGACGGTTTCTTGCTGCCGCAAGGAGGCGAACCAACTGGAGAAGGATGTCTGCGGGTCCACGTAGCGTGAGGAGTCCGCGTAGAGGGGGCTCGCCGTCGTGCCGGCGGCATTCTTCTCGATGCGAAGGAACGTTGTTTGACTGGAGGGCAGGGCGGAGAGCTGCACCGGGGCACGCCACAGGAAGCTGGACGCGTTGCGGCAGTCGAGCGCCGGCATGAGCCACGTGTTGGTGTCGTCGAGGCCGAAGCCTTCCACGACGAGGTCCATGTTGCCGGCGTACACAACCGTCGCGGCGGTGGGCGTCAGCTGCGACAGCTCCGCCGTGACCACGCCGGTCACCGCCTGGGCGATCAGCCCCGCGTCGCTCGGCAAGTTGCGGATCGCCGTCACGCGTGGCGGGTCCACAACGAGCTGGAAGTTAGTGGGGAAGACGAGCGTCGCCGTGCCCGGGGCGTACAGGCACACGTTCAGCGGCACCCGCGTCGTCGTCACCGCACCGGTGAGGGGGTCGATCGTCACGTCCTGCCGGAAGAGGTGCTGAGCGGCTGACTTGCTTAATAGGTCGTCGTGGCGCAGCACCACGAAGAGGCGTGGCCGGTGCACACGACCTCTGCCGCCGTCCTCTGCGCCGTCCTGCTCACTGCCGTTTGATGCTGCGACGGATGCGGAGGTGTTCCAGTAGGAGCTGGGCAGGTCGTACAAGGAGACCACCGACACGTTCAGCAGGCTCTGCGAGGCCACAATACGGCTGACATCGCTCGACACCGTCGAGACGCCGTGGCACAAGTTCGACGAGAGAAACATCGTCATGTCAGGCCGAATGCCGTAGCCGGTCAGGGGCAGCACCACATCTCGCACTCCTTCTGCTAATCGAATCACCGTGCCGCTTGTCGTCGTGGTGGTGGTTAGTGTGGGCGAGGACGGGGAGGGAATGGCGCTGTAGCGACCCATATAGAGCAGCTGAATAGGGCCGACGTCGAGCGTTGTGTTGACGACAGGGGCGAAGAAGCGGTGCGGCGGTGCCATGCCGTTGGCGACGGGAGAGAAGGGCAGGGGCACGGAGAGGCACAGCTGCATGCGGCGCGTTGACTGCTGCGTGAAGAAGCCGAGGGGGATTACCATGCCCAAGCTGGTGTCCACGCTATCTTCATCGCTCGTGCTGCTGCTGCTGCCTCCACTTCGGCGACGACGACGGCTATCCTGCGTCAAGACACCTAAACCCCGCTGAGAGTAGAATAGGTTCGAGTGGGCGCACTGCTCAGCCGTGTCGTCCACCGTGCCGTTACTCGGCAGCACCACCGAGAACACCACCTGCGCGCTGTGCAACGTCGTCGTGGCCCACAAACGCACGTCTACGCCGTGCATCCACAGCATGCCGGCAAACCCCGTGTTCAGGTTCAGATGTGTGGTGGTGGCGTCGGCGGCTTCCGCGGCGACCACCGCATCGCTGCTCGTGAAGACCGCGTTGGCGTCTATCGCGAAGCGTTCCACCTGCAGGCGGTGCACCGTGATCCTCAGCGCGGGGTTCCGCAGCGGTAAGAAAGGGCTGAGGGGATCGTAGGCGATGCACACGTACCACGTCTGCGTCGTCGCCGCGACGTCATCGGTGCGGGTGGGGTGGTGACCCCACAGACCCGTGTGATTTAGGTTCAGCTGCATGTACGCCATCGTCGTTGTCGTTGCGCTGCTGTTGTCGTTGATGTTCTCTGATTCGACGCGCATGGTGGCGGTGCTGAGCGGCACCATCGTGTCCAGGTACCGCGGCCAGGTAGCGGCGGCGGCGGTCGGGTCGGTGCGCGGCACAGGCTGCAGCCGGTTGCAGCTGTTCGGGTCTTGCGAGAGCAGTGCCAGCATTCCCGGCTGAATTCCTTGCCCATCTAAGAGAAGAATGGGGGAGCTGTATTGGGAAACGTGCAAGTGCGAAAGAGAGGCGACGGGGCTGGCCTCGCCGCGCTGCTGCTGCTGCTGCTGCGCTGACGAACCGTAGGTGTAGGCGTAGGTGGGGCGTAGCCGGTAGTGCGCACTGCGGTTGAACGTCGCAGGCGTCGGCACCAGCGTCGCGAGGTCAGCCGAGGCATCCGATGTGCTACTGCTGCTGTCGACGTCGTCGTTGGGACCCTTGTTGCTGGAGGAGACCCGGTGCGTTAAGCGGCGAGGCGGCAGCGCCCACATACCCTTCACCGCGACTTCCTTAGGGACGATGTGCGCCTTGAGACCTGGCACAGCGGTGTAGGTGCGGACAGCCGCGCCAACGGGGCTGAGGGAGGTACGCGCCGCGAGACGCCTCACAATGGACAGCAAGAAAGCATCGCCATCGATTACAACATCCCCAGCATGCGAGGGAGCGGCAGACGACGAAGTGGACATGGAGGAGCTCCACAGCGCCGGCATCAGGCTATTCCTGCTACTACTACCACTGCTGGTGCTGCTGCTGGTGATATTCCATAGGGACAGAAGCCGCCGGGAAGCCGCACCCGCCTGCGCCACGTCCGCGCTGCTGCTGTTGCCGGCGCTTGTGTTCGTGAGGTGCGTCTTCTGCACAGCGACGCACACGTAGAACTCCACCGGCGGCTGCAACGTTGCCAGCTCACTCGGCGCCGTCGAGGAGTTGTAGAGCGGCTTCAGCGACGACAGCCGTGCAGCGCGAATGGTGGCGTACTGATAACTCAAGACGCTGAACTGCAGCCCACTGCGCGCGTCGCCTGTACGGTCGCCGAGCAATGTGGAGGCGTTGCGCCGGGTGTAGCGCGCACTGGGCACCTGCTGCAGCGCCATGTCCGGTGCAAGGAGGTAGAAGGGCACCTCGGCGCCCATGCAGTCGGCGGTGGCGGAGAGCCGCACGTGAGAGACCATCGTGTCCACCGTGGGCGACTGTGCCGTCACGACGACGTCGTCCTTGCTGTCGCTGCTGTAGCGCAGAGCAAGCTGCACCGTACCGGTGCCGTGCTGGGGAATGGCAAGCGTCCGCTGCACCGCACACACCGAGTTCGGACTGCTTGCAGTGCGGCTGCAGAGCAGCGGAGGCAGCCAGGTAGGGCGTGCGTCCACACTCGCCGGGTGACGCGTGCGCGACGCCGTCGGAATGAAGCCATGCACCGTAACTTCCGTCACCTCGTACGTGATCGCCGTCGGAACGTAGTGAACGCCGTCCTGCGAGACGCAGACGTAGCCGACCTCGCTCGTGTTCCCATGGCGCACCGTGACGGTGCCGAGGCGGACACGGTTGATGCGTGATTGATCCTTGTAGCCTTCACACGGTGCGAAAGGGCGACTGACCGACGCGTTGGGGGAGAGAACCAGCAGGTCACTCAGCGACGACGGCGGGCCTTGCGCGGGGGCGAAGATGCTGCCCATCGCCGTGCCGTCCACCGCCACCGTCGGCACCGCATAGGAGTAGAGAGCCGAGAGGGGGGCGAAGTACAAGTGCAGCCCACGCACGCTGGCTGCCGCGGGGGTGGTGGCGTTCGGACCCTGCAGCGTGTAGATGCCCGTACTGCCAGCTGCGACGACAAGATGTGCTGCGTTCGACAGCGCCGCGATGCGTTCCTCGAGGGGCGGCCACGCTTCCCCGCTGCTGCCGCTCTCCGACGACCACCCCGGCCCACTCGTCGGCTCCGGCGTGGTCGTGGTCGTGGTCGGGTGCAGCACGTCCTTTGCAGGGTCGATCTCCGTCGCGTTGTACTGGCATGTGTAGGCTGTCACGTAGACCGCCGTGCTGTCGGGCATGCTGCCGGCGGCGGCGGCACTGCAGGGGACGTAGTGCCACAACCCATGCACGTCCACGGCGATGCAGCCCTTCACGGCGGCTGGCTCCGAGGCGGCCCAGAGGGACAGGGCGAGCTGGGGGTCCAGTTCTCGCACCCCGCTGATGTAGAAGCCACCATTGCCGCTATCGATGAAGGAAATACCGGCCAAGCTGACCGGGACGGCGCTGGTATTTCGCTCGGCGTTGCTGCCCGTCGTCGTCGTCGTGTCGCCGCCATCACTATCAATGTAGCGCTGAAGCAGGGCACCGATGTAGTTGCTCTCTGCAATGGATTGCATCGACACAGCACGCACGCGCGCCACCTTCGCCGCCACGACACGGCCACGCAACACCTGCTCACACGCCTCCTCCATAGTGGCGGGTGTGACGGCGGGCGCTGTTGAAGAGAAAGTTGTTATGGCAGTGGTGGTGGTGGCGATGGGGTAAACCCGGTAGCAACTGCTCGTCAGCGGCAGAAAGGACCAGCCAGGGACGCAGTAGCCGGACGGACCGGGGGCGGCGGTGGTGGTGGAATTCGGGTCGGGGGTTGGTGTCGTGGGCGGCGGCGGAGTCGGGAAGGCGGAGCCGTCGTTGAGGTACGAGCACAGAAAGGGCTGCGTAGAACGCGGGTCTAGGCCGACCCACGTACCAGCCGAGGTATCCGCAGCTGAGGTCGTCTTGGCTGTTGCGGCTGCCCCACTGCCGGTGTTGCAGCGCTGCGCAGGAGGCGTGATGCCTACCACGCCGTAGCTGAGCAGCGGCTCCTTCGCGGCCCAGTTGGCGAAGTAGTCGTTGCGCGCCGTCGGCCACGCGGGGCTGGACGGACTCGTGGCGGCGAACTCGGAGGCGTTAAAGAGGTGCTGGTCGGCGTACCAGCTGCCAATGAGGCCGGCCCCGGCGCCATCGCGCATGTAGCTGCCGCCCAGGAACACCGTGCGGGCTGACGTACCGCTACTACTCGTAATGCTGCCGGTGCTACTAAAAGATGTGCTCGCCTGTCCAGCGCCGTCGCCGTCGCAAACCACAGGAACACGAGAGAGCAGCGTCGACACAATCCACTCATTCTCGCTGCGGGACATCACACTGGCCAGTGCTGCCTTTGGGTGTGCCGCGCGGCAGTACGCCTGGGCTGCCTCGAACGTCCTACCCAGCCGCCCACCCGCCTCACTTGCATTGGCGAAGAGGCGGTAGCAGACGGTGTTGTCGGCACCCTCGCTCGTGTCCACCACAGACGGCAGCGGCGTCCAGCCGTCGAGGCAGGCCGGTGCGGGCTGTGGGACAGCCGGGCGATGCGCACGTTTTCTTCCCGGGTGCGCCTCTCCTTTGGAACTCGACTCTGCATGCGCGGACGAAGACGCAGGAGCGGAGGAGGAAGCCGCGGGTCCAGTGGAGGAGCTGTCTGGGGTCACCACGGCGCCACTGGCGTCAAACGCACACGCAAACGGATAGGCGGTGGTGCCGATGCTGTTGGCTGGCAGGAGGCCCCAGGTCCCGCTTGGGCGCATCACGACGGTGCCGGCGTGCAGCTGCCAGTTCACGTCATCCGCAAAGTTGGTGTACGTGGTGGACGCCGCGGTGCTACTGCCGCCGGCGTACCAGTCCACTAAGCCGTAGCCCGCTACCCCACCCAGGATGAGAACGGTGTCATCGCTCACGCCGCTGCCCCCCACTTGGAGAAAGAGACCGTGCAGAAAGCTGTTCTCTTCAGCGGAGAAGATGGCCGCGCCGTGTGGGGAGACGTGGCGAGCAAACGGCCACGGCGTGACTCCGTCCGCGTTGAATGGTCGGCCGGCGACGCTGCTCTCACTGGTGAAGACGGCTTCACAGGCCGACTCAGCGCTGTTCGCCGGCACACTGGATGTCGCGAAGACACGCACGCACTGCCGCGTAACCGAAGAAGAGGAAGAGTGATAAGAGGCAGCAGCGGCAACGTCATGCGCATTACTGAGGTTGTTGCTACGCGCTTCGTAGAGGAACCAGCCGTAGGGGCAGGTGATGGCAGATGAGGCCGCGTGCACCTGCGTGATGGGCACCACTGCCGGCACCACGGCGAACAACACAGCCGCCGCTGCTATCAACAGGAAGAGACGACGACGCTGACAGTGCGACGGAGCTGGCGTGACGGCGAAGGCGCCTCCGCCTACGCTGGAAAGGTCCCGCGAGTGCATTTTTGGTTTTCCGTATTCGCCCTTCGATTTCTCCAGAGATCGCCCTCTCTAAAACCAATAATAATAAAAAGAGTATTTTTAGGCGCGTGTTGCACGGTCAGCCGTCCAGTCCCGAGGGAACGGCCCAGCAGTTAACAGTAGCAGCCGACAGCGATGACGACAACAAAGCACTGCGCTGGCGAGGCGTGATGGGAGACGAAATAGACGGGGGAGAGAAAGAACGAAGACGGCAACATAAAAAGAATCGATAACAACAACAGAGAAGAGAGAAGGGCTGTGCCAGCTTGTGCGTTTCGCGCGAGAAGAAACGAGAAAGATAGGAAAAGCGGTTCGATAGATTGATAGAGAGAGACACACACACACGCACACGCCTTAACGGTGAAAGAGGCAACAATAATAAATATATGAATAATAATAACAATATATATATATCGGTATATATATATATATATATATTAAGTCCAAAGCTTCAAGATGCACACACACGGACACACAGACAAAAGATCAGCACACGCTCGTGCGCGACTGATAACACGCAGATGCGTTCGAACCGCGAGAGATTTCCTGTCGCGGAGGGAATATATGAATGCGCTGCAACCGCCCAGAAGAAACCATATATGGCTCAAAGAACGAACACTATCGCAAACAGCTGTCTTATATCGGCAAGTGACGGAGACACAGCGAGAAAACAAACAAACAAACAAAAAAAAAGGTAAAAGGACGGGGGACAGTCTGACACACACACACACACACGCAATGCCATAAAGCGTGCTCGGCGGACTAAGATGAGGACTTCAATTTCTTTCTCCTTTGCTCTCTTGTTCGAGGGAGAGAGTGTGTGTTCCCCTCGCCTCCTTGCGCAGCCTTCGCAACGAAGAACAGCGGAGCGAAGAGAAACAGCAACAGCAACAAAAGAAAGCACAGGATACCAGCCCAGGTCAAAACGCCGGTACTGAGGGGCTGCGTGTGTGCAAGTGTGTGTGTGTGTGTGTTGGAAGGAAGGGAGGGAGGGAGGGAGGGAGGGATGGAGAAGCGAGCGTATGGGAAAGGTCGCTGCCGAGGATGCACTACGAGTGGAACATCAACGATTCTTCACGCGTACATATGCGGGGAGAAGCCGCCGCACCATGAGGAGACGCGGCTCGCAAACTTCAAATATATATATATATACATATCAACGGTTCCAAAAAGAAAAGAAAAGAGCTCCAACTTTTCTCTTTGTACTGTGGGCGCTCTTCGCTGCTACGAGCGCTCACGAGTGCGCTGCCGGCAGAGCCGAACATCTCCTCTCTGGTGTATGTCTTAGTAGGCGCTGTCCAATGAAGCAACATCGCCCCCTTTATTTTTCTCTCTTTTTCCCTCGTCTTCATTTTATTTCCTCACATAATAATCTTCTTCTTTTTTCGAAGTGCGTTTTACACGAAAGAGATTCTTGCTTCGTTCGCTTGCATATACGTGTATACGTCAGCCGCGACAACAGCGCGGGGAACACAAGACAAAAGAGGGAAGGTGAAGATCAAAGGAAAACAACAAAATACAGTTCAGCTGAGATCAATGAAGGTAAACAACAACAAAAAATGGGGGAAACGACAGCAATGACGAAGGAAGTCACACCAGAAACAAACAACAACAACAACAAAACAGCCGGGTGACCACGTAGATACGTAGGAGAACAACAGGGGAAAAGAAAAACCATGAATATATGATGATACAGCGGAACAGCTCCTGATAAATTATCACACACACACACACACACACACACATCACACAGAAGTAGTTCGACTCCGCCACGCCGACTGCGTACGGGTGAGAACAACAAAGAAAGAAAGAAAGAGAGAATCACGCTTCTTGTTGCTTTATTTTATTTTGCAACAAGACCTTCGGCTCTCTGCTGCTAGTAGTAGGAGTAATCTTGTATTTCTTCTAGTTGTTGAAAGCACACGACGACGCGCTTCTAATTCCCACTCCATTTGGGGTCGTGCAGCACTCTTGTTCTCATTTTCTTCTTGGGGTGCCAAACTTCTGTTGGAGAAAGAGAGAGACATAGACAGAGAAAAATAAACAAGTAAACAATCAACATCAGCAAACAACACGAAGGGACCGGCGCCGAGGAGAGGAGGGGCGAGCATAGGAGAGAAGGAGGTGAGAAAAAAAAAAACCGGTCAGCAATGCAGCAGTGAAGAGGAGTAGCAGAAGGGGAAAAACAGATAGATAAAGGAATAACCCCTCAGCCTTCATTTCCTTCTGTTCTCCTCCCATACAACAAACAGCAACATGAATAGTAAAAAAAAAAACTCCTGGGTAAAGCAAGAACGGCGGCGACGACGTCCACAAGACAGGCGGATTCGCAGAAAGCGGAGGAGGGAAGACGGAGAAAACACACAAGCAAACTCGCGGAGTGAACAACAACAGCAGCAACAACACACAGAGAAGAAGCGGCGCTATTTCGTTTGGTTGTGCAGTTTTCGTCCCCTTCTTTTGCCCGCGCAGATCAGCGCCGCTTACGTGGGGGCATCTCTTCCAGCTCCGCATCTGCGCACGTCATCCACGGCGAGCGCAGAAGCATCCGTGCCGTGCTGCGGCGGTTCGGGTCGCGATGGAAGCAACACCGCAGAACGCTCAGCAGCTCCGGCGGGGTATCCGGCGGCACGCCAGGCGGCACGTCGTCCACTGACTGCTCAATCTGCTTCATGAGGTGGTAGGCGTTGTTGCCGGCGGTCGGCCACGGTGTGCGTCCGAAGACCTCCAGCACGAGACACCCGAAGGACCAGATGTCCGCGGAAGCGGTGTAGCCCACCGGCTTCGTGGCAGCGGCGAAGCTACCGTTGCAGCTCTTGATGTTGTTTTCACTGTCACCTCTACGCTCGGTCGAGTCCACAGAGCACGGCGAGGCGGGCTGCGCTCCGGAGGCTTGAATGATCTCCGGTGCCATGAACATCGGCGTCCCCACCATCGTGTGCGCCACGCCCGTCGCCTCACACCACTGGTAGTCCACCATGGTCGTGCAGCGGGAGTCGGTGGCGTGCGTCGTGGCGATGCTGCTCATCGTGCCGTCGTGCCCTTCCCCGGGCACGTGGCTGTTCGTCATAACGATGCGGCTGGAGCATCCGAAATCAGCCAGCTTCGCCACGTCATCCGCGCTGATCAGCACGTTTTCACCCTTCACGTCGCGATGAATGAAGTTGTTGCGGTGGAGGTACGCTAAACCCTTGAGGACATCCCGCAGGTACCGTCGCGCCGTGACGACCGGCAGCTGCCCACCCGGGCTGCGCCGCACCACTCGCGCCAGTGTCCCTCGCGTGCACAGCTCCATGATGATTTCCACCTGCACCGGAATGCGTGTGGCGGCAGCCACGGCGAAGTTGTCGCCCGGGGGGGCGTGCGCGTTGCTCGAGACACCACTCACGACACCCAAACCGGCCCCGTCGGTTTGCTGCATCCGCGACCCCGGAGGCGGTTGTTGTTGTTTGTGATGCAGCTCCATAAAGCGGTCCTGCACCGGCGTAACTTGACAGCGCAGACAGGTGACGATGTTCCGCTGGTGCAGCTTCTCCATCATTTCGATCTCGCGCAGCAGCACGAGGACCGCCTCCTGTTGTGCAGGGGACATGTTGCTGTCTTCACTCGCCGCGCCTGCCACATCGGGCCCGGCCGGCATCGGTACGCCGACGTCCAGCACTTTCACCGCCACCGGCGTGTGCGCCGCGTCGTCTAACACGCCTTCATACACTTTGCCGGACGTGCCCGCGCCGATGAAGGAGCGCACCGTCCACCGCATTCGGTTCTCCGCCAGACGGTGGAAGGCTTCCCGCCACTGCCGCGCACTCAGCCGGTGACGGCGGGACTGCACGACCTCCACGCGCCGTTTCTGTTCCTCCTGCGCGCGCCACCGCTCAATCGCGGTCTTCGGCTCCGCTGCGTTTGTGGGCGTGGGGCGGGTCGCCACACCAATGCCGCTACTGTTGCCGTTCCCACCACCATCACGCCGTGATCGCAGGCGGTCCACCGTCGACAGCGGCTGCTGCTGCTGCTGCGGCGGCGGCGCCGCGGTGTGTGTGCCCTCGTCCTCATCCGTCTGGGGCATGCTGTACCGCCGGGGTCGGTACCCGCCACCGCCGTCAGCCGCATTCGGCGTCCCGCTGTCGCTTGCGGTGCTGTCCGTCAAGTAGCGGTGGGTGCCACCACCAACACCGGGTGGTACGTTGGCGCTGCGACGCCGCGGTGTGCTGCCGTACAAGACGCTGTCGGCGGAGTCGTCCAAGCCATTCACGACATCGGACGAGCCGCTGCGGTGGACGGGGAAGCTGCCGCTCTTGCGCGTGCTGCGGCCCAGTGGGGCAGGCGTGCCCACCGCGCTCGGCGACAGCATCGGTCGTTGCTGTTGCTGCTGCTGCTGTTGTTGTGCCGGCGGTGTGGCGGAGGCAGTCGTACTCACCGGTGTCGCCTCGCGTGTTGCGCCACTGCGCAGGCTGCTGCGGCTCGTGCTCATCGGTGGGTAGGCCAGCGTGACCACGTTCGTCGTGGCGGCAGCATCCAGCGCTGTCCCACCACCCCAACCACCAAAGGCAGCAGGACCGGCGGACACAGACAGCGATCGATCCAAGTTGTGCGAAGAGCGTCTCTCCGCGTGGGTCGTGGTAGAGGAGGCTAAGTGACCGCCACCGAAGAGCGCCGCACCGCCTGCACCTGCCATGGAGGCGGTAATGACGGGCCCGTTGCTGCTGCGACGCCGATGGTGATAGTTACTGTTGTTGTGGCTGTACATCCGGCCTCCTGCCGTGTAGCTGCGAGAGCGCGGGCGATGCTGCTGCTGCTGTTGTTGCGCGGCACCCACGTTTCCGCCTGCGTCCTCCCCAGTCGGGGGCGACAGTCGTCGAGAGCGGGCATCGAAGCTTCCGGTCGGGGCGTTGATGGGGTTGGCGGTTGCTACTACCGGTGGCGTCGTGGGCAGCTGCTGCTGAGACGCGCTGCGGTCTGGGTAGGGGAACACGAAGTCACCGAGGACGCCGGAGTACGACCCAGTGAGGCCGTCGTGCTGCCCGGCTAAGCTGCTGCTGCGGAGTCGACTGCTCACGCCAATGGGCGCCGCATTCGTCGCGTGCGTCATGTTGGGGCTGCTGACATAGAGCAGGCTGCGGCTGCGCAATGGGTTTCCGCCTCCTCCGCCGCCGCCGTCGTCGTCATTTCGGTTCTTCTTGACGCCCCCAGCGCTGTTAGGATCAGTGTTACTGCTACTGGTGTTATTGCTGTTGCTCACCCGGTCGCGCATGCCGGGTGGAAGCAGCTGCTGCAGCGCCGCGTGCGGGGCCCTCATGAATGCGTTAAGCTGCGGTACGCACTGCAGCAACGACGACGGGGTGCTGCCGCTGCCTCCAGAGGAGGGGCCGACGCCGGCGCTGCCGCCAATATTATTGAAGGAAGAGGACGGAGAGCCACTCGCACCACCACCACCGCCGCTGTTGCTCGCCACGCGCCCGTACTGTCCGCTGGCGATGTCGGTGTTGCTGCCGGCTCTGCTGCGGCCATGTGGGGACGCCGTGTCCGGCATGTGATAGGGTGAGATGCGCGCCTCCATCAACGGCACCGCAAAACCAAAACCATTATCAGTGTATTTATTATTAGTATTACTGCTATTCGTTGTCGCAGGTGGACCGTTTCGCCTGGTAGAGACAAGATTGGGATCGCGGTGCTGGTCCGCGGGACTCGACCGCGGAAGGGTTCCGTCCCCTACGACTTGATAGGCATCTACGCCATTGCGCACACCACGACTGCTGCTGTTGAGCGAATTCCATGTCCCGGTGGGGGAGCTGACACGCTCGCCAGCACCGTTAAAGAAATGATTCTGACCACGTTGGATGTTGACAGGGCGGCTACCGGCGCGGGTTTTACGCAGCGTAATGTGAATCGATCGCGGACGTCGCGAGCGCTGCCGCTGCTGCGGATCTTGTTGTTGTCGTTGGTGCCGGTTTTGTGCGGCCTCGCCGTCTCCCTCTGCGATGTTGGTGGCTGATCCAATACCGTCCCGCTGGGGCTGGCGTTGCTGGAGAAGTGAGTGCTGTGGCTCCTGCTGCGGTGTATTTCCTCGCCCGTTGCGTGGGAAGGCGGCTAAACTGACGGACTGCGACATGACTAGCTGCGATGAGATCCACACACACGAATACCAATACTCCAACGAGTACGGCTCAAACGGTGGCACCTGACGAAGACTCCCGAAGTATCGAAGCAATAAGGAGAAAGAAGGACACGAGTGACTTACGACGTCACCGAAGAAGCAAGAGAGAAAAAACAAACAAACAAACAAAATAATCAGTTTCAAAGAGGCACCACTCGTAGTTAAGGCAACAGCGGGATAGGCATGCTAACGGGAATAATGCGGCAAGTAGGAAAGCACAAGCAAACACACACGCGTGCGTCACCAACTTCGAAAATGAGGTGTCGACCAACGAGAACAACGACAACAACGGAACAGAAAGCAGAAGAAGTAGCGAATACAGCGGGAAAGGGAAGAACCGTGCCCACGCCACGGTGCAACACCCGAAACCAGTTACACCAACAATGAAGGAGAAGCAGATGTGGCTCTAACCGTAAAAGAAGAAGAGAAGAAAGGACACAAAAAGAAATTGATTACAATGATAGAGGTAGAGAGAAAAGAAAATAAGAAAATCCAATAACTCCGAAGAGACGAAGTTTAAGGGAGGAAGAGAATCTACCGGGGAGGGACAAGAACAACCACACGCACACACTCAAGCAATAGAGAGAGGCAGAGAGAGAGAGAGAGAGTGAGAGTACGAGCGGAGTTAATGGCAAGGATACAGTGCAAGCAGCAGCAGCACACACACACACACACACACACCCAACAACAATGAAAACCCTACACTTCAACAGAAGCGGCAGCAACACCAACCACTCAACACAACCACCAACAACACAAAGCGACTGCACGAGTATTGGCGACTGAAATATCTCGAAAGAGCTACGCACACACCGATGAACAGAAGAAAAGAACAGGAAAGAAACAACAGTTATATAAAACCAACAGCGGCAGCAACAGCAGCGGCAAACAACAACAACGAAGGCGTAGAAAGGAAAGCGGAAAGGAACAAAAAAAACCCCTCGTGCAAGCGCTCTTCGCCGCGGTAAATTGAGCTATGCGAATCTGGCAGCCGCGCACCGCGGATGTGCTGTGCCACTGAAGTCGCACGCACTACCAGAAAAAGGAGAACAACAACGGCTGGTCTGTCCTCCAAGATGAAAATAATATATAAAATAAAGCTAAACAAAAATAATCTAGACAGAGAGCAGGTAGCTATCCCCTCTACCCTAGCGTACTAGCTTCCGTTTCGGGACTGACCTTTACGCCCCCCCTCAAACTGGATTGAAACACAGCCAGGGAGAACGATCGCAACACGTCAGCAGTACAATATATATATATATATATATATGAAATAAATGTGAGGTGTAAAGGGAGAAAACAACAGCAGAAGATACAAAAAAAAAACGTTGATGCGCGGCAACAATGTAGAAGAAGGCTCGAGAGGAAAGGATATGAAATAATGTATCAATAAACAAATAAAAGTGCGGATGTTTGTGTTGTACGTCGCACGGCAGCCAACGGCTCGTACGTCACACCCGTTGTGAAGAGTGCGTGCGAGTTTTCTACTAGGGAAGGGAAGGGGGAGACTGGGCGTCTAAACAAAGAGTTGGCTAGGCAGGCAGTCACGATGGCGAGCGAGCAGCGAACGACGAGCAGCGGCAACAAGAACAATACTAAGAAGCTAAAAAAGATAATCAAAAATAGAAAAGGAGCAACAGACGCGCCGTCAGTCGTCACGTGAACACACGTAAACGAGTAGATGAAAGAAGGGTGCTACGGTCCTGTATGCGAGAGAGGAAGAAGGAGGGAATATATATATATGTACTTTTTTAGAATATCCATGGAAACAACAACAACAACAAGCAAACCCGACTGCCACGGAGGATGGCTTCAATCGGCAGGTGAGCGAATATACGCAGGGAGAAGAAAAGAAAAGAAAAAAGAATCGCCTGTTTGCCCTCTCCCTATTCGCTACCTTTGCTTCCTCTACAACGTCGAAGATGCCAACGTCAGAACGGCGAGATAGTAAGACACACACACAGACACACACGCACACGCACACAAGGACAGAAGACACGAACACAGACTACACGGGCTCAAATAACCGAGAGAAAAAGGGAAAAAAAAGAGAACGGCGACGGCGGAGAAGCGAAAGAGTCCGCCCGCTTCGCTTTGATTCCACAAGTCAGGGTGCACGAGGTGTGCTTGATCAACCGCGCGCGCCGGTTTGTCTTTCCTGCTCTGCGGTCGATGGCGTCCTTCCTAAAAGCCGACACTATATCTGTTTCTTTTCCCTTGTCCTTTGGAATCTCGATCGATGTGTGGGCGGGGAAAGAATGTTGGAGGGGAGGGGGGGGGGAATGGGGGCAATAAAAGAAATAATAATGAAGGACATTATCGTCATCATCATAAAAGGGACAGACATTCATGCGAGGAAGAAAGAGGCCGGAGAAGGAGAAGAGGGAGGAGAGGGTGAGTAGATTGGCGGAGATCGACGTTGCTGACGTCAACGATAGGAAATTGTGAGCTTGTATATGCGCTTGCATGCGATCTTGATACGCAATAAGGATGATAATAACAATAAAGGCCACAACGGTCACGCGGAGGGTCCTCAAAAAAAAAAAACATACGTGCTTCATCTGGGAGAAAAACTCGAGACAAGAAGTTCTCACAAGCACAAGTTGGTCTTCAGCTACAACCTGCAAAGGTGAACAGGCCTTCTTGTGCATGAGCAGGTATCCAAAGCCGTGCGCGGCGACGTCGGACACCACCGACCGGCGGACCCATGTCTGCCACTACACGTTCATTGAAGTTTTCTTGTATGTATATATATATAGAGATAGATGTATATTTGACATCACTTCGTTGGAAATGCATGGATAGGCGCACAACACGACAACACCGCTGCGGAACGACACACATTCGCACACAGGCAACATGAGCCCGAGGGAGACAAACAAATACGGTAAGAGAGGGGGGCTGCCCTTCTATTCTTTCTCCTTTCTCTCCTCTCTGAAAAAACCAATCACCGCCGAAGTACAGAAAATCAAGGAAGGAAAAAGAAAGCAGCCTGCGGCGTCTACAACGCACATTGATGCGTGTGTGCCCTTATGACTTGACAGACATATATCTGTGTGTGTGTGGGGGAACGAGTGCATCCTACACAAGCTCAAAACAACACAACTCCCCCCCACAAACAACAGCAACACGGCCATACAAGGGATGAAAAATAATATTAATAAGAAATCGAATCACAAGGACGAGGAAACAGTACAATGAGAGGGAGGTAATGGATGGATGGATGGATGGCGGGAGAGGCGCGTAGACGGAGAATGCTTTTCACAGTTAAACGAGGAGAGCTGGCAGTGGGCGGGAAGGAAAAAGGGGGCCTCTGCCATGACTTGGCCGTATGCACGACTTGATAGATATAAAAAAACAACAACAACCAAAAGAGACAATTAACACAGAAAGAAAAAAATGAAAAAGAGAGCTGAGTGTGTCAGCAGGTGTTGCCGTGTCGCACGCTACGTGTGCCGCTGCGTTCCCTATCAACCCCCCCCGCCTTTCACACACACACACACACACACACACAGAGACAACTTGCGCACTGTCAACGCCGCTCATCCTGATTCTGCTTGCGTAGTGCCCGCCCGTGCAGGTGAGAAAAACGCTGCAGAAAACAGCACGACAACATCCACAGCGTAGGGAGAAGCGCTGTGCTATGGTAGCCCTCGTTTTGTCGGTGTCCAGATCAAAGAAGGACGTAACCAATTGTCTGTGCGAGGTGAGAGGGAGATCGTGCTGTTGAAGGAAAACAATCATACATACAAACAAGAAGCGCGCTGCGCGGAAGCAAGAATTTCTTTTTTGTTGTTGTTTAAAGGCAACCAGTAGGTGTTGCTCTTGCCGTTCTTGTCCGTCGCAGCACCGTGCTCGGGCTGAGTTGCATCTCCGGTGAATCCTGCTGTTCGCAACGACCTCGAGTCTTTCTCTGATAGACTTGAGCACCGTGGCAAGCGTAGAGCATCCATCTCATTCCGACACGATGATAGCGACACACACACACGCATACACATACACAACAGTACACAACTACGTACATTGCATTCGATAGAGAAAGAGAAAGAGAGAGCGGGAGCGAAGGAGAAAAACAACGAGACACGGCTGATGCCCGCTCAGCTGGTTAATAATAATAATAATAAACAAGAAGTGAAACAAGAGAAGGAGGTAGTAACGATGCCAGACAGCCAAAGATAGAGGGAGTGAGAGAGAGAAAGAGATGGCCATCTGTAAAAGTAAAACAACAACAAGGAACAGCGTAGAAGAACAAAACAAACAAACAAAAAAAGCGTGGCTTGCCGCGAACGGCGGCAACAGCTGTCCTCTTTTTCCCCTTCTATTTTTTCTCTCTCTAAACATAAGAGAGTCTACAATACAAATAATAATAAAGAAAACGACAACAGAATACCCCTCCCTTATCCATTTTGTTGTTGTTGTTTGCTGGTGCTCGGCTTAGTAGAGAGCAGAGCCGGCCTTCTCTTGCGCGTAGCCGCAGCCTGCCTTCTTCGTCTGGAAGTACATTTCCTCTTGGGCACTCACATCCTCTGTCTCGAACTTCGGAAAGTTCTCAAAGACGGCGTTGCGCTCGTCCATGCGACACAGCTTCACCGCCACGTCGGTACCGATCTCCGCCTCCGTCGCGATGCCGACCGTCACGGCGATCTCCTTCACAGACGCCCCCGCCGCCGACTGCGGGCTGAGGTGGGCGTGATCGTTGAAGAAGTGGATAGGATGAACGAGGTCCCGCATGTCCTCCCCGGCACCACCAGCACCGCCCATCGTCTCTTCACTCTCCATGAGACGCGGAATCACCAAGTACGGCGCGGCGCTCGGGGTCAGGTCGCACATCATCGCAATCTCCCGCGCCTGCAGGAAGAGCCACGCGCTGTCGGACGGCTGCGTCACGTCGACGGCGGAGTTCGCAATGACGTGGTAGACGTCCCGCTCGCCCTCGACCGGGGCGGCCAGCGAGAGCATCACGGGCGGGTAGTCCATGTTGTTCGGGTCCGACTCCGCCGCCCCGACCTCGCTCACGTGCATGCCGCGGTGGTCCATGTTGGAGAGGATAAAAGTCACCCTCGTCGGCGCCTTGACGGTCACGCTGAGCACCGCACCGGGCACGCAGTCCGCGAAGGTCATGGGCACGCGCGCGTCGTTCGCCAGGACGTCGCGGAACAGCACCCCACCGCCCACGAAGTACTGCAGCGCATCTTCAAAGCTCATCCACACAATGGAGCGGTCGTTCCTGTTCTTGGCGTAGTTGCACGCCGTGGCGATGTCGCGGTGCTGCTGCCACTCCGGACCCTCCCACGACCACGCGCGCGTCCAGCCCTCGCCGTAGAGCCACGGGTTGCGGACGCAGAGGAGGCGAATCTGGCCTTTGTTGAACTCCTTCACATCCAGCACCGAGTAGGCGTGGCCGGGCAGCAGACCCGTGCCAGCGAGCGCCGTCTCCAGCTCCGGCTGATCGCTGAAGTCCGGCGCGTTCTTCGCGTCGGTCGAGATCGCCGGTGCCTTGCCAGGCGTCGTGAGAATCGTCAGGTAGCCCTTCTTCTGCCACGCCAGCAGCTTCTGACTCACGTTGCGGCCGCCGTTCACGGTTGCCTCGGCGAAGGCGTCGTCGATGCGCATCGCTGGGTAGCCTGACATGTCTGTCAGCGCGTGCATCGGGTCGCCGGACTGGATCATCGCGTAGCTGCCGTGCATCTTCGCAAAGGCCTTCTCGAGGATCGCCGGCCACAGCTCGCACGGGTCGCTGCTGTGGGCGAAGGTGGGTACCCCCGCGACGACGGGGAGGTAGTCATCCACCAAGATGCTGCGCCAGAGGCCGTTTTTGTTGAAGGATACCCGGTAGGCTCCGATGGCGCGCTCGCGTCGTGCCAGGTCGGCGCCCTTCGGGTGGCGGAACATCTGCATGATCGTCTTGGGCTCCTCGGCCTGCGTGGCGAGGGCGCACATCAGCCAGCAGTCCCCCAACTCGCCCTGCTCCACGTCGCCAGGACAGATCCCATCGCGGAAGAGGCGCACCTGGTCCTGTAGCTCCGGCTTGATGTACATGGACGGGCGGCCCCACGGAAGCTGCTTGAAGGGCTTCGAGGCGCCGGACTCGATCGAGGCCTGCACCGGCGGGAAGGAGAGGTCGACAAAGGGCAGGTTGTTCTCCAGGCAGATCTGCAGAATGCGTTCCGCGTCCGTCTCGTCGCCGGCGATGGCGCGGATCGCGTCGATCTCGGCCTGGACTATCTGCTCGTTCTGCGTTGCGCTGCGATCCTTGTAGTAGTCCTCTGACAGCGGCAGTGCCCGCAACTTACTCGCAAAACCGTTCACAAATCCCTTGATGAAGGGCTCCGTCTCGCCGGGGTACACGGTCACCTCCGCCACGTACTCCCCCGTGCTGTCATCCCGCGTCATCTTCGTGTTCTCCAGCGCGGTGATCTTGCTGTGCTTGCCAAAGGTGCAGACGACATGTACCTCGAAGGCGCGGCTGTCGTTGTAGAAGGCCCACGTCTTGTTCGGGCGGTCCACAATACGGTACAGCAGGCCCGGCTCCTCAAAGCAGTTCGTCACCTCGCCGGCCACGTCCGGCTCACCGTTCATAAACTTCACCCTCTGCGCACCGCTGCCGACCGTGGCGGGGGCGTCATCCTCGTAGACGGGTTTCTGCGCTGTCGAAATGTCGAACTCGTCCTCCGGGTCGTCCTCGGGCACCTGCAGGTTCACCGGCACCCACTCCTGCGGCGCCTTCGTCGCGGTCTTGCGCGGCTTCATGAACGCATTCATCACCGGCGGCGGCGGCGCGGCTGCCTCGTCGTCGTGGATATGCTGCGGAACGGGATTGAGGTCATCCGCCTCATCCTCCGGCAGCCCGCGGTCGTTGCTCTTTCGGTTGCTCGTGGGCTCCACGTAACCCAAGTCGTCCTCCGGCACCATCGGCTTCTCGGCCGCATCGAACTCGACAGAGTCGGAGAAGAGGCTGTCGTTGCTGATCACATCAGCCTCCGTCGGGGGGTAGGACATCTTTCTTCTTCTCTCTTCCTTTTTGATGCCGGTGGTTCTGATGCCCGAATACGAAGAACAACAACAACCAACGTAAGTGCGCGAGTATGTGAGGGGGGAGGGAGAGAGAGAGCGAGAGAGAGCAGAGAGAAGAGAAACCGGGAAAAAAAATACAATGAGAAGAGTAGCAGCTGCACCGGCAAGCTGTTCTCTGATAGATAGAGCGAGAGGAAACAAAGGAAATACTTGAAAAGGAAAAACAGAAGGAAAAAAAACACAAGAGATAGAGAGGGATGAGGTCGCGTCGCCGGAGGAGAATTGTGGGAAGCGGCGGGGGTGAATACACGCAAAGGGGTCGCGTACTTTGAGCTTGAAGGAAGGAAGGAAAGGCAACCAAACACACACAAATGAAAAGCGTGATATGAAGGGGAAAGGGGGGGGGGGGCGGAGTGTCAGATTCGTACACTCATACACCCACACACACGTCAAGATCGGAGAAGAGAAGACGAAGCACAAATAATACAGCAATTTCCAGACCCGGTACAGAACAACAGAGAAAGAGAGAGAGACAAATATGAAGATATCGAAGAGGTAGATGCCTTTTGCCAGTGTCTCTGTGCCGTCTACGCCGTTTTCGGAGTTGTTGCGGTTGGCGGCGCTATGGTGAAAGTCGAAGTACACTTGGTTCGCTTTCTACGTCAGCTAAGAATAATAATAATGACTAAACACCACAACACACACGCAGAGGAAAGAGAGGTAAGAAAAGCTTATGTACGATAGATAAAGATGCGGGTTATACACACACGCAGGCACACATACATCCGACGACAAACAACACGAGTGAGGAGAGAGAGAGGGAGAGAAGAGAAAACAATAGAAAGGAAGTAGATCGATCCATCGATCGAGAGAAAGAGAGAGTTTCAAAGGAGCCACACGAGAGACGACACCATCAGGTCACAATTACCATGTTGCGAGCAACACACCTCAACGAGTTATAAACGAGGGAGTAAAGACTCGAATGGTTTAATCCCTCTTCTTTTCTTTGTTCTCCTCCCTTTCTTTTTTTGGTTTGTGGAGGCCATCAACAACACACGACAGCCGTCGCGCGAGCTGCGTCGACGACACGGCCGGGCGCGTTCGCCACTGCAACTTCGCCCTTCTTGTGTTCTATTCTTTTTTCTCTTATCTTTATGAAACCTTATTGCACGTCACACGCGTCAAGCCAACACTACAATAAAGTGTTAGGAGCAACCAAAAACCTTACAGCTGAAAGGAAAAGTCATATTATGTAAGAGGCAATCAATCAATAGATATGGATATAAACAAATACATATACATACATATATATACTTCGCCCGTTATTGCCTTCTCGATTCGTAGGAAGTAAAAGGAGAAAAACAAATGGATTAAAAAAAAGAAGAAAAAGGAGGAGAGACCCACCCACACGCCGAGTAGATATCTACGCTAACACACACACACACTCGCACACGGCAGCACTGAAGCACATGTATGTATGCATGTATATATAGAGCACGAGAAGCAGTGCTTCGATAGGTTGTTACTACCAGCTTCCACGCTCACCACTAAAATACAATAAATAAATAACTAAAAGTAGAAGAAAAGAGTATAAAATCACTGAAAACAAAACAAAAGATTTTCTCATATTTTTCTTCGTTGGCATTGTTTTCTTGAACTCTCGCATGACACAGAAGCACAGCCTGCACAGGTATGCGCCCCCTCCCTTCCTCCCTCCTATTTGACTTGTCATAAACACGCACCGTTAACTGAAGCGTCGCGTTCAGCGCGCCTCTCCATCCACCCCTCCCCCTTCCCTTCGACTCTCTCTCACACACACACAGAATTCGTACTGTGCAGATGCTAAAGAAGCGGTGTGAGGAGGGGGGGAGGGGTAGAGAAAACACGCAGCCGGCGACGTCATCGCCGTGTTCGCACAGTGACGCAGCGAAAGGGGGAAACAGAGAGAGAGAGCGTAGTGGCTTTACTTCTGAAAGTTAAACAACGGCGACGGTGATGGTGAGTGGAGAGGGGGAGGAAGGAAACCCCCTCCCTCCCCCTCCCCGGAAAAGGAATGCCGCTACGCACAACATTGTGGTATTATAAGAACGCACAAGTATAGTACACTCATCCAACGTCAACAGAAGAAAAGAAAAAGAAGAGGAGAAAGCGCCACATCGTTCTTCAATTTTGATATATATATATAAATAGAGTTAACATCTCAGCCTTCGAAGTAAAACTGCGATGTCCTCCCTGTCACGCAGAAGCTCACCAACAAACAAGTTAAAACACCATCGTACAAGTATTAATCCGAGTTTATTATTGTCATCATCATCCAATAAAGACCTCTTATGATTCCTTTAAAAAAATAAAACAAATGATCCGTTCATGCGTGCCATATCTTGCCGCGTGCAACACGGAATTAAAGAAAGAAAAATATGCCTTGTGGCTATTAATTTTTTTTTCACTGTTATGTTTAGAGGGGCTTGCGATGTCTCAGTACGGTGACAGCGCACAGCGCGCAGACTGCATGCGAAGACGAGCGCGCGAAGAGAGAAGAGAAGCATCAGAAATCATTTCTTGAAATAAACACTTGGATGACGTGAATTAAGAAAAGGAAAAAAGAGGCCAGCTAAAGAAAAAGAAGAAGAGAAACACACACACACGCAGAAGGAATTGGGGTGCGGATGATTACGTGAAGTCGTTGAAGCTGTCACAGAGATCCGCCACCTTTCCTCCATACGAGAGGAAACAAACAAAAAACAGAGTTCACTGTTGTAGAGCGAGAAACGACGACCACAACCAAATAATAGTAAAAACAAAGACGGCACTTCAAGGAACCGGGGGTCGGCACAGGAGGGCGATACGCCACTCGCCCCCCTCCCCCCCCC